AAATGCGAAATTAGTTGCCGTTGAGCGTCTTCGGTTCAGGTTTTTTTTCTCTCTTTCTCTTCGCTTGGCCTAGACATTTAAGATTGTTTTTTTTTTTTTGTATTTCGAATTTTTGTTTCTCAGAAAAATTACTTTGATTTATTTTGACGCGAAATTATGAAGTGAGACGCACATCCATCACTAATAAAACGGATATTCCATATGCAATTGGACAGCCAGCATATATTGATTGTCTAAATGTTTGAATTTTATTGAACTGGTGAGCAATGAAATAAAATGACAATCAATTTTGTATTACTTGTGAACAACATACACTATATGGTGGGCACTTTTCAATTCATTTCATTTACAAAAAAAAACTATATACAAACATTTTGATAAATGCAGACTTTTGCTTATAAAAACATGAAAGAGAAGGAGAGCGGGAAAACTTTTTATAAATGATCTGTAGTTGCTCTCTGACTAGCCGATCTGAATGACAGCCAACAAAATCTTACAAGAAGATTTTCCTTCGTTTTTCATGTCTTAACATAACCAGAAAACACTGAATGACAACGATTAACGTTTTTTTGTTTGTCATTTTCGTTTTGCCCGTGATGTGGATTGAATGTGGTTGTCATATATATGAGTGCGACATGTCTACTTCAGATACAAAATAGCCAAAAAAACGTTTTTATAAAATAGACTCGATCGATTGATGATATGATTGGTATGACAATAGCATTTCGTTTTATCTGAAATATTGAAATGACAATAGATGGCAATCAAAGAGCGACTACATTACAAGAATATTCATGCGAAATGGAATGGCAAAAAATATATAGAATCGAACCAAACTATTGGCACCAATAAAATAAATTCGAAATGGAATTTTATATCAATCGATAGCTTGTCCATCCGCCTAAACTGGGTCAATATAATTCCTCGTTGGTTTTGTCGGTTAAGTTTTTTTTCTTTAGTTCTTTCTCTCTATATCGTCATTGCAACGATTTTATATCATTTGGATTTCGCTGTGCTCTCTGTTGCGAACGGCTCTTCAGAGTATCATTCATATCACATACACACTCTTTTTTCATTCTTGTTTCACAGTCAATGTCTATAATAGACCTTTCGTTTGCCTACGATGTGCAAGTAAATATCAACATTTTTCATTTAATTGCTACAAAAACTGTTTCGTTCATTCGATAAAGATATAGTACACATTGCAGAATGTTTGACTGCGCACATCGGTCCTCGAAAAAAAAAAAAACAACAAAGAGTGGCGAATACACATCCAAAAACCCCACATGCACGTACTTGTACAAAAGATGGCAAAAGCAACGCAAAAAGAGAATCAAGAATAATACACAAACCGGAGAACCGAAAAAAAAACATACACACCATGCATATACGACGACGACGATGAGATAGAAGGGGAGAGAGACAAAAACATCAACACCAAACGAAACATACGACGCTGAGTAAAGCAGAAGAATTACTTAACAGGAACAATTACATATAAATATGCACACATACACCGACAGAGATTTCAAATATCAAGCAATATTTATCCATTTATTTTAGTTTTTTTTTTTGTGTGTTCCGCATACACAGCGAAGAGTAGAAAAAAAAATTGTGTTATTCGACTATTAAGGTTTTACTTATATGCATCATTTTATGTTTATAGATATATCACTTCACGCATATGACGAATATCAATGCTATAACAAGCAATGTTTTATTTTCGCATGTGTATACTATATTTAATTTGAGTGTGCAATGGTGGTGCGGTTGTGTGTATTATGCGCTGAAGATATACACAGTCACATGCGGTAAACAAAAATACAAACAAAAGGAGCAAACGATGCATGGTTCGAACGGAGCAATGTGTTACAATGAAATTGGACTTTTTCGCTTCAACGCTTTCTTCCTGTACACAAACACATCGATAGACACGGTTAGAGCCAAAACGAAGAGCATTCGCACAGCAAGTAACATCTTTGCATGTTGTGGCTGTTTTGGGTAATATCAACAGCAGCAACAACAAAACTCTTATACACAATGCCAAAGAACATGCGGTAGGGTAAATGCGGCAAGTACTACGCATCACACACTCACACACACAAATTGTACGTTTGTGTATTGTAAAGCAATGTGCTCGCACGTCAACACCGAGAACACACAACATTGATTGTGTTGCGACGACAACGGCTACCTCACAACCGGCCGGTACGTTACGTTCGTATATAACGCAACAACATTCATTTTCGCTTTGCGCGAATCGATTCATGAAATGCGCTGAATGTCAAGAAAGTTTTACTGTTTGTATACATAACATTGATATATTATATCCATTTTGACTATTTTATCTCGTTCACTCGTACGCTCGTTCGCTTTCATTTCGTTCGATTTTTTTGAATAGATAGCTCGCATATTTTTGGGTATAATATAAATACACAAATAACCATTCAGTCGTACCGTGCCATGCCTGCATCATCACCAATACACCCAGATGACTTATGACATACACACACTCTTTCTGCATCAAGTTGAAAACACGAATTAAGAAGAAGAAGAAGAAAATAATAACAAAGACGATAAAATGCGAACAAAACGAGAAATAGTTCAAAAAAAAAATGTGCTTTGCCACAGAAATGTAATAAGGATAGAAACGTAGTTTTATTTTCACATATTATCGGTAAACTGAATGTATAAATAAAAAACGGTCGAAAAACAATTTGATATTTATCATAGGCGATGATGAAATTTGAAAGCAAATGGCTTTCCGCAAAAAAATCGGTTTCAATTTTTTTTAACGATACGTTTAATTATTCATGTGATTTAAATCTGGTTTTGATTAACCCATTTGATTCGAGTTTGTTTCGAAAGGGGCAATTCGTGTTGAAAATGTTTAGATTCCATTTATTTTATATTTTCACATAGTTTTTGCCTCTGAGGGACTCGAGATTCAAACGTGATTAAAAATTCTCTATCTCCTATTAAGAAAAATGACCTGTTCCATATATGATAAAAAGCCATTTGAAAAACGAGATTTTTTTTGTTTGTTTAAATTCCAAATAGCTTCGAGATACTGTTAATATGCTCATAGCTCCGTTGTCGTCATCATCATCATCGTTGTCGATTGCATTCTAGTTTGGGAGAGTGGCTTGGAATGTGGGTGCCCATTTCAATCAATCGTCACAATTTAGTACGCAGTTGAAGAGCGTTTACTTAATTTATCACTTAAATGAATACCCAAGAACTATTTGATCTAGTTTTGTACGCATGTACCAAACACGCAAGCACCGTGTACCGCATAGGCATGACATATTATCTTCACCCCATAATCAAATTAAGATTGAAATCTTTCAATTTATGTAGAACAATGCGAAAATTATTTTCAAAGCACATCTAACATTTATTGTACGCATTACGCGTTTACAATTCGAATGGAATTGAATAAAATAAGTACTATTGTCAGTCGTTATTCAAACCATTCAAACACAATATAAACACATAAGTTGGCAACGCTTGAAAAGTCATGCGACAAATGACAAATGGAAAATCATAACCATCACATCATAAGCCACCATTCATCTCGTTCGCGCCTTAATTACGAATTCATGTCATTCATTTTTCATTTCGTTGATGCTTTTGAATTGACAGCGTGCGACATTGCGTGCATGTACATGTTGAAAACTTTGAAATTCAAATCGAATTTACCTATTTTTAGGATTTAGATATGATTTGTTTTTCTTGCACAGTTTTTTTTTTTTGTTTTATTTGTAGCAAATCCTGCATTCAAGAAGCGTATTTGTCATGTGAGTGTGACACAAATTTCAACAAGGGACGAGAAAAATATCAAAATGTTATGATATTATGGCATTTTTTTGAAATACTGATGAGATTAAACCTATTAACCTCTCTCTCTACCTTTATTTCTCTTTTTTGAACGCAATGGAAAGCCTGGTTTTCTAACGGAAGCGTTGCCAAAGTTCATGTCATCGAAATCAGTTCAGCCCAAACTCAAATAAAAATAGCTAAACTCAACCAGAAGGAAATAAAGTGAAAACAAAAAAGGAAGGAAAAAGTAGCAGTGACAACGAAAACGCGCGCTGTTTACAACGACAACACGATATCATACATAAATGAGAAAAAGCAAAGCACAGAAAACCGTAGAGAGCAACAACGAAAAAAAAAATCAACAGTATTCCGCTGTCACACATTTTCACGTAATAAACTCCAACAACATAGCGATGGTAATGACAATGAACGTGAAATGAAACGGTGTGCTTCTTCGACACTGCAAACCGTACATATATGTATAGCACTTTATATTTGCAGCGCGTGTGTACTACGACATGATTTTGAGCACGCACACATTGCTATGGTGCTAAAATAGGCGAACAAGCTCGGTAACACAAATTAAACAAAAATCACCGAAAAAAAAATAGAATATTTGCGTTACATAAGAGAGAGAATTGGGTTTGCAATAACTGCTAATCTACACTAATAATTCATAAACCTTATTTCTTTCACATTTATCATCTAATAGCATGTGGCGGGCGGAGATAGCTAAACGCATAAATACATGAGCAAACCTACCAACAACGTGTATAATCGCAATACATATACTGTATAATTGGCTGCCAGAGAAATAATAATTCAAATCTGGTTGCCGGAGAATTAAATCTCTCTAATTCATTCACTCACTCATTCTCTGCCACAATTATTGTTACGATTCTAGTTTGTACAAATGTTCAATTCATGTTAGAAGATTCATTACAATTATGTTGAAGCAATCCACTTTGTGATTAAATTTAATATACTTATTCTCGTTTTTTTTCTCTATATAAAATCCTGCAATTAGTCAAAAACCAAAGTAAAAACAAAAGTATACTGATAATAGTAATAATAATAATAAAGTAAGCTTATAGTGTTTTTGTATGTACCGACATGATTCACATTGGCATTTGCGTTCAACATTTCGGTTGAAAACAGTGATAAATACACATACACACCTGACAACGGTTCCGTACATATGATGATGATGGTTGATAAAAACAGAAGTCTTAGCGTGTAGAACGTGCCGACGCCGTGTCGAACCTGCAGCAACGCCATAAATGTGGATTTTTGATCATTTGATGTCACAACGAAAGAAGAAGTACAACAATTGTTTTTGTTTTTGTTTTCAACAACAACAAAAAAAAATTTATCAAATCAATTTGAAAACGGCTTATATTCTCTTTCTCAATGGTTGAGATTTATGAATTGGCGTTTGCCATCAACAGTTATTTACCGTTCAACTACAACACAATATATATTTCACGCAATCGGCACAGATTGCATTTTGAAAAATCCATATTCACAATTCACTCGATAAATTGTTTGGGAATTCACAACGAGATTCGTTGCCTCCGCTTATGTTCTTTGTGTATTCTTTTTTTTTTTTGCAGTAAAGAGATTCCCCTTTTGTGTATTGGTCTTTTATATAGTCGCAAACACTTGAAATATAATCAATAGAACCACGTGAAACAAAACAGTTTGTTGGCGAATTTTGTAGATTCAGTCACATAATCGTAAGGTAAACAAGTGTACTTTTTTCGTTATTTTTTATTAGCTATCTTAAGAATCAGTGTTCGGTATATATTTATTTTAATAAATTTATTTTCGGCTGCCATTGATCACTTCAAACACATGTTTATTATAATATCAATCTGCGTGCCAATTTTTTCTTTCATCGGTTTATTTTTTTTTAAATGTTCATCGCTATTTCTTGTAAATAATTCGATTAAATATAGCTAAAAATTTATTACTCAATTGATAGAAAAATAGACGCGTTAATCACGAAGTCTGTCGTTTTGTTTTTTTGTTCTTTTTCTATTTGTCTCTACACGAAATCGTAAATGGAATTTACATCAGAAGGCGAAATCTATTACCCACAACAATTTATTTGTTATGAAATGATGAACACAGAAGGAAAAAAAATTCTGTTGCGTTCCGCACACAAATCACGCAAAATTCAAGCACTTTCCACGCATCACTTTAGTGAGAATAAATTTTTTTCTCTTATTTTTTTCATTAAAAATGTATATGAAAACAAATGATCAATTTGTGCACAAAAATCGATTCCCAAACAAATTATTTGATTTAGTATTTTATTGCATAGGGAAAACAAATAGATATTTGAAGAACAAACACACTCTGTCACACGGTTTGTATTCGTAGTAGGTATTTTTACATTATCAAAAATTCATTGAATGAGTTAAATGCGAAGTTCGTGTTTACGCATCTAAACAGTTGGTGCGCCATTGAAAAACTAAGAAGCTAAATGATTCCGTAATGCAGAGAACATGAATTGTTTTCGATTTAATACGGCCGCAGCAGCTGAAGACTTCCACGCACACGTATCACCACTACATTGAACGGTTGTGCGCTTGATACGCATTCTATATGAATCGGATTTTCGTAATAAAAAGGAATCGATATGCTTCCTCTTACATGCCATACGGTGATGTGTGCATGCTGCTACTACTCTGCGCCTTAAATGTACGTGTATTGTGATTGTATACATAAGTATGCAATAGCTCGAATATCAATTCGTACACAGGCACACACATTTCAAACGACAGTTACTGAATACCCGTGGTCACGTTCGATGTTTGCGTTAGTCGATGGTTGGAAATTGTTTTTTTTTTCACCATTTTTTTTTTATTTAAACATCAGATGATTCGTTCACTAGGAGATGGAAAATGGAAAAATATCATGTAAATGAATAAATTTAAACTTTTCGAAAAGTAATATTTATTTAAACATCCCATTTTAGATCAATGTTGTGGTGAAAGATTTGAAATAGAACGCACAGAACGCAAAAGTCTTATCGCTGCGTTAAACTTCAGTATTCAAAGAGCATTTACAAATGACAGATAACTCTTCACTCATTTCACATTGGATAATCGGCAGACAATCACACTTTTTTGAATAATTCTGCTTTAAGATCAATTTCTATCATTTTCGAGGAAGAATTTGATTAAAAATGGCAACATTTAGTGCAGTTAGATCGATTTTCAAGCCAGGTATTTTAAATTAATTCCAAATCAGCAAATAAATCGCAATTTTTGGTTAAATTATTGATTGAGGTTATGTAATAAATTTCAGCAAATCGCGTATTCTTGCATCATGCCTTTAACAGCAAAGGAGGTGCTATGTCGCAATTTTACAACTTCCAACCGATTTTCCAAAGTCGTTGCTATTGTGAAAAAAAAGTTTTCAAACGTGACAAACCACATTGTAACATCGGAACCATTGGGCACGTAGATCACGGAAAGACAACATTGACAGCTGCCATCACCAAGATATTAAGTGAAAAAGATTTGGCCGAAATTAGAGACTACGATGAAATCGATAATGCACCAGAAGAGAAGGCCCGTGGAATCACCATTAACGCTGCCCACATCGAATATGCCACTGAAAGTCGTCATTATGCTCATACGGATTGTCCCGGTCATGCCGATTTCGTTAAAAACATGATTACTGGAGCATCTCAAATGGATGGTACTTGACTCTTTTTTAATTCGTTTTTTTTTTTCACTTTCTCTTTGCAAAGAGCACGCTCGTCGAACGATGATTTCATTTGTTTTTTTCAATCAAAATTTTAGGAGCAATTTTGGTGGTGGCCGCAACCGACGGTGCTATGCCACAAACTCGTGAGCATTTGTTGTTGGCAAAACAAATTGGTGTGAAACACATTATTGTTTACATAAACAAGATCGACGCAGCGGATGAAGAAATGGTTGACCTGGTTGAGATGGAAATTCGCGAATTGATGAGCGAAATGGGCTTTGATGGTGATAATTTGCCAGTCGTTCGAGGTTCTGCATTGAATGCATTAGAAGGCAAAAATGCTGAAATTGGCTCGAATTCAATTACGAATCTATTGAAAGAGGTTGACAGCTATATTCCAACGCCGGAACGTGAATTAGATAAACCATTCATGATGCCAGTCGAACATGTATTCTCAATTCCAAATCGTGGTACGGTCATCAGTGGCTTATTGGAACAAGGAATCATTAAGAAAGGAAACGATGTTGAAATTGTTGGATACAATAGAACGGTTAAATCGACAGTAACTGGCGTCGAAATGTTCCATCAATTGTTAGAACAAGCACAAGCCGGTGATCAGCTGGGAGTATTAATTCGTGGTGTAAAACGTGACGATGTTAGACGTGGAATGGTTTTAGCTAAACCGGGATTATTAAAAATGAACGACCATGTGAGTAAATATGATGCAAACTGAATTGAATGTTGATTGAATTCAATATAACTTATTATTAACTGGGTAAAATTAACTTGAACATCAAATATTTTGTAGGTTGAAGCGCAAGTTTATGTTCTTAAGAAGGAAGAAGGTGGCCGATCAAAACCATTCGCGTCATTTGCCAATATGAATCTTTTCTCAAAAACTTGGGATTGTATGGCTCAAGTTTTGGTGCCAGAAGGATCAATTGTCATGCCAGGCACACACGCAAAGTAAATGATTTTAACTCAAAAACTCCATTTCTAGTCATATTTAATCATTATGATATATTTCATCTTTATTTCGTATCTGATAGACTCACATTGAAACTCATTAAGCCCATGGTACTCAACAAGGGCCAACGTTTTACCATTCGTGATGGCAAAGTTACAGTCGGCACTGGTGTTGTGACTGATCTAAATCAACCACTCACAGAAGACGAACGAGTTGAAGTGATGGGTGGCAAGAAAGCCAGAGAAAAGGCTGCAAGAAAAGAAGCCGAGAAAGCAGCAAAAAAAGCTTCAAAGAAAGGAAAATAAATATTTTAATCCATTTATAGTTGTACACCACTTATTATTGAAAATTATAGCATTTAATGTATCACCATTGGAAAATAAAATTTAACAAAAAATGAACTATATCAGTGAGATTTTTTTCGAGAAAATTATATTTTGGACAGCAGGATATGGAAGTAGTTTGCCTTGCTCTGATGGAATAATAAAAGAAATATCACACATTATTTCCACCTCTCCATTCATAATTCTCGTGAACATAGCGTTCGCTACTGTTTTCGCTTTAAAACCAAACACGTACATTCAATAGCGCATTATTTTTTGTTTAGCTTACTTCGAACCGTCTTTTTTTACGCTGTGTTTTTCAAACAATCGGCGCTCAGTTCAGTTTGTATACGGCCACTGTGGAGGAAGGTACGTTTGTTAACTGCACATTTTTATTTCATTTTGCACACAACTTTTTCAGTTTTTCAAAATAAGCATTTTTATTTTCTTATAAATTTCGATTTTTCTACATTCAATATAAAAATTTCATTTATAAAAATAGAGTGAATGGTTTTGTTGTTTAAAAAAATACTCTTTAATTGTTTTACGTAAGATAAAATCTATTTTAAAATTGCGTATAAAGTTTTGTGTGATAAAATCTTTGAAATCTGGGCTTGACAATAAGCTTCTGACATCGTTAATTTAACGGACAAAAATCAAGAAAATTAAAAAAAAAATATTTTTTCGCAAAAAATAAATAAATTATCATATCACAATATGTTAACGGAAATAAATTCAATTATAAAGAAAACCTTGCATAAAAATTTTCCGATCATAAAATAATCATCATCAATGGTACAGCAACAGTTTCATCTTTTATCACACGCATATATCTCCCTCCTTCCGTACTCGCTCCGGATTTAGAATATTTTGTTTAATAGCTACCAGTTTTGTTCAAGCCGAAAAATGTGTACGAATACGTCATGGTCAACAAGTTAAATTGAATGGCCGATAAAAACTACAGTTGAATCGAGTTAATATTACAACATGCATTACAATTTGCAAATTTTGTTTAACCAGTTTTCCTGTGTGGAATTGCATCAGGAAAATTGTGCACGCAGACGATTATTTATATCGGATATTGCTATAAATACAATTCAATTTTTAGAATGGTAAAAATTAAAGGTAAGGTCAAACGACCTTTTAGGATGGCATTAAATGGAATCGAAATGAATAATTCAACAACCTTATAACCTTAAAAAACTGCAAGTTGGTATTAAATTCAAATTTAAATTCGAATCGCATTTCCTTTTGTTAAGTTCATAGACTCGTCGCTTTGGTATTTTTTGTTAAAGAAACATTGTATTCGTAATTGAATTATTGAATTTTTAGTCGCATTTCGAAAGTTCCGTTTGATGTAAGTTAAATGTATCGGCGAGCGGTTGTAATTGAATTACCATATCAAAAACACGATGAATTTATTCACCTGAGCATGAATAATTACGAAATAATCGGCAAACATATTTTTTTTTTTGAAGAAATCCACATACATACACTTGAAACTATGCTCAATGTAACATTCAGTGTCTCATGAGCGTATAATAATAACAAGCAGCAATTATGAAATGAAGAATTGTATGCAAGTCCGAGTGTGTTGTTTTCCATTCATATGCGGAAACATGCAATGAAAAAGATATTATGCAGAATCTCATGTACATTCGCCAGTCAAAACAAAAACAAAAATCATTCGAAAACACGCAACGAGTGAACCAACTACAACAACAACAGTAAATCGAGCGATTTTAGTACAACACATTTTCTTTTCCTTCTCTCTCTCTCTCTCGTCCGTATTTTGCATCTAGTCCAAAACGTCAATGTCACTTCGTTTTCGTTTCGCATTGATGTTTGTAATTTCAACAAAAAAAAAACCACATACACACGGCTAGTGTGATCAAATTGCCAGAAATGATTTCGATTTTGTGCAAAAGTTGTATAACAAAACAAACAAATAGCGTTAAAAGTATCAATCGGTATTTGAATATTTTAAGTGGAAATCAATTGTCATATTCAATATGTAAAACGAACGAACGATATTTGCTGCGAAATTTTACGACAAAAACAAAAACATTATTAGCGAGCACACAAAATGATGACAGTGTGAAAAAAGATAAACCAAAAAATGGAAAACTCGGAACAAATATTTTGAGTAATGTGTTTGCCAAGCGAAAAAAAATTCCAACAGCTCCAGTGAGTCAGTCATCTTTTGATTTGTACAATGGGCCAGAAATCACATCTACTGAAGTGATTCGGGCGATGATGGCCTATATTTGGCCAAAAGATAATGAAATGATTCGACGTCGTGTTGCACTTTCGCTCGGATTACTTGTTGCTTCGAAGGCTATAAATGTATGTGTACCGTTTCTGTTCAAAGCAGCTGTTGATAACTTAAATATTCTCAGTACGGCTACGGTGCCCGATACATCGTTGACAATTTGCACATCAATCATTCTTGGTTACGGTATAGCTCGTTTAAGTGCGGCTGGCTTCAGTGAATTACGTAATTCCGTTTTTGCACAAGTGGCACAGCATTCAATTCGAAAAATTGCTACAAATGTGTTCATGCACATGCACAATCTTGATTTGAGATTTCATCTCAATCGGCAAACTGGAGCAATCAACAAAGCAATTGATCGCGGTTCACGTGGCATAAATTTCGTGCTAACAGCAATGGTATTCAATGTGGTGCCGACCATTTTCGAATTGGCCTTAGTTTCAACAATTCTGGGTATTAAATGTGGACCAGCATTTGCTGGTATTTCATTGGGCTGTGTTGGCGTGTACGCTGCATTCACATTGGCAATAACATCGTGGCGAACAAAGTTTCGTGTGTACATGAATAAGGCTGAAAATCAAGCGGGCAACAAAGCCATCGATTCCCTCATAAACTATGAAACGGTGAAATATTTCAACAATGAAAAATACGAAGCCGAACAGTACGATGCAGTTTTACAAAAATATGAAGCGGCCAGTTTAAAAACAGCATCAAGTTTGGCATTATTGAACGCTGGCCAACATGCAATTTTCAGCGTTGGTTTGACTGGCATTATGTATTTGGCCGCACAAGAAATTGCTAAAGGCAATATGACTGTTGGTGATTTAGTGATGGTGAACGCATTGCTTTTTCAATTGTCGATACCTCTGGGTTTTTTGGGCAGTGTATATAGAGAAGTACGTCAAGCCGTACTTGATATGAGTGCCATGTTTCGTTTGATGAATGTCGAGTCTGCCATTCAAAATAAACCGAATGCACCGCACTTGTCAATTGGCCGTGAAAATGCTGCGATTACCTTTCAAAATGTGTCATTCGAGTACGAAGCGGGCAAGAAAATTTTCAATGATTTAAACTTTGAGATTCCAGCTGGCAAAAAAATCGCTTTTGTTGGAGGAAGTGGAAGCGGTAAATCGTCGATGGTACGACTTTTATATAGATTTTTTGAACCAGATTCAGGAAAAATTAGCATCGGTAATCAAGCAATCGACGATGTTGATGTGGATAGTTTGAGAAAAGCCATCGCAATCGTGCCACAAGAGTGTGTTTTATTCAACGATACAATCGAATTCAATATTCATTATGGTGATTTGAGTAAAAGTAAGGCTGAAGTTGAAGAAGCTGCTCGAATGGCTGGCTTACACGATTCCATTATTAAATGGCCAAAACAATACGATACGCATGTTGGTGAACGAGGCCTTAAATTATCGGGTGGCGAAAAACAACGTGTTGCTATTGCCAGAGCCATTCTTAAAGATGCACCAATTTTAATATTCGATGAAGCCACAAGTAGCCTTGACTCAATCACAGAGCATAACATTTTACATGCTCTGGTCGAAGCAACAAAGGGTCGCACCAGCATTTGCATTGCACATCGTTTATCAACGATTCGAGATGCCGATGAAATTCTGGTGTTGGACGGTGGACGAGTATGTGAACGAGGCACACATCAACAACTCATTGATTTAAATGGATTATACTCCAAACTCTGGGCTGCGCAAAGCAAATTTCAATAATAATTTTTTTTTATACATTTATAATTATTTTAAACATAATTTCGATAAGTTTTCCCTGCTGCTGAATGATATTTTATTCAAATAATGAACGTTGTTATTAAACAAATAGTAAGATATACTAATAATAATATTTATATGCTAATCTGATCTGTGTAATTAAATGTGGAGGTCAGCCATCTAAAAATAAATATTTTTTTATCTTTACAGATTAAAAACGCAATAAAATGTCTTTAGACGAGGTAAAGATTTAAATTATTGAAAAAATACACAAGTGACTGCTAAAAATAAACATTATGTCATTTAGAGATTCAATGAAGCCGCTGAGCGGGTAAAATTGTTGACAAAACGACCAACCGATCAAGAATTACTTCAATTGTACGCCTTTTTTAAGCAAGGGACATTTGGTGATAATAATACAAGTAAGGTGACCAATTGAGATTTGTTTTGGTTTTTATTTTCAAAAAAATCACATTTAAAATTCTTTTGAATTTTTTATATTCATATTTTCGTACGTTTTTGTTTATTTATCAAACAGGCAAGCCAGGAATGTTCGATTTGAAAGGAAAGGCCAAATGGAATACATGGAATGAGAAAAAAGGAATGAGTCAAGATGAAGCCAAAGAAAAATACATTGCATTCGTCGATCAACTTATGGAAAAATACAAGGAATAATAAAAATACACATCTAAGTCGTTCGTTCAATGGTTAATATGTTTTTATTTTGCCTGTTTATTATCGTTTGAAAATAAAGAGGATGTATTGTTAAACTTGCTAAAACCGTGTAATTTAATTTTTAAAATCAAAGCAAATGCATTGAATCGACCAATATCACCTAGTTCAGTACTAGATCGTTCTAATACAATCTACTACATTACATGTAAAAATGAGGTATCATATGACATTTCATGTTGACAATGTGTCGTCGTATTGCATTGAACATTTCTTGACAGTTCGTATTTTTCACAACATCGGATATTAAACACCGTATTCGACTCGAATCTTACGTAATTTTTTATAAATTAGAACCAAAAAAAGGCCTAAATCTTAAAATTCCATTTCAATTTTTAGTTGTTGATGTCCATCTAGATAAAGAGCAAAATTTAAAAATGTTACGTCTTTGCCTGAGCAAAACATTAAATGGTGGTAATGGTCGATTATTATTGGCTGTAAGAGCAAGCTCATCGACAGCAACACCAGCCAAAGCACCCGAAAAGATTGAAGTTTTTGTTGATGATCAAAGTGTATTCGTTGAACCAGGAACAACTGTGTTACAAGTATGCTGTAATTTAATTGCGACACATTTAAAAAGAAAATACAATATTTTTCATTGAATTCTCATAGGCGGCTGCTCAAGTTGGTGTAGAGATTCCACGATTCTGTTATCATGAACGTTTGGCAGTCGCTGGTAATTGTCGAATGTGTTTGGTTGAGGTTGAAAAGAGTCCAAAACCAGTTGCCGCTTGTGCTATGCCAGTGATGAAAGGATGGCGCATTAAAACCAACTCAGAAATGACACGACGCGCCAGAGAGGGTAAACGAAAACACACTGAATATGAAAAATATTGATTATGAAAGTGAAATATGAAAAAAAAAAATGTTTGTTTATGTTTCAAAAGGTGTAATGGAATTTTTGTTGATGAACCATCCACTTGACTGTCCCATTTGTGATCAGGGTGGTGAATGCGATTTGCAAGATCAAGCCATGGCTTTCGGTTCAGATCGATCTCGTTTCGTTGACATTCATCATACAGGCAAACGGTTTGTGCAAACTTTCAAATTATTCGTTTTGCCACAAAATTTTACACATAATATAAAATGATTTTAGTGCTGTTGAAGACAAAGATATTGGCCCATTGGTAAAAACCATCATGACCCGTTGTATTCATTGTACACGTTGCATTCGATTTGCATCAGAAATTGCTGGTGTTGATGACTTGGGTACCACTGGTAGGTTAAAATTCGGCTCGGTGTTTAAAAAAAATCAAATTTGTTATAATTTTGTATTGGTAATTCATAGGTCGTGGTAGTGATATGCAAGTTGGAACCTATGTTGAAAAATTGCTTCTCTCTGAATTGTCTGGAAACATTATTGACTTATGTCCAGTCGGTGCTTTGACCAATAAACCATACAGTTTTGTGGCACGTCCATGGGAAATTCGTAAAATCGATAGTATCGATGTACTTGATGCAATCGGCAGTAATATCATCGTCAGCACACGTACAAATGAAGTGTTGCGCGTAGTGCCACGTGAAAATGAGTCAATCAACGAAGAATGGTTGGGCGATAAAGCACGTTTCTCATGCGATGGATTGAAACGTCAACGTTTGATTGCCCCATTGTTGAAAATCAACGGTGAATTGAAAGCAGTTGAATGGGAAAGTGCATTGATTGCTGTTGGTCGTAATTTACAAAAAGCAAATGGTAAAGTCGCCGCCGTTGTTGGTGGTTTGGCCGATGTTGAATCTGCGGTTGCTCTAAAAGATTTATTGGGCAAATTCAATTCAAATAATATTGCCACTGAAACTACTCTTCCAAAAGCATGTGCTGGTAATCGTTCAACTTATATTTTGAACACACCAATCGCCGATATTGAAGATGCTGACGAAATTTTATTGGTCGGTACTAATCCACGTTATGAAGCACCAATTTTGAATACCCGTCTTCGCAAGAGTTACGTTCATAATGAAGGAAACATTTCATTTATTGGACCCAAAGTAGACCTATCATATAAATATGAGGTATTACAATTTTTATCGTTTGTTTTTATTCTGTGATTTAAAATGGAATGGTATTTTTAGTACTTGGGAGATGATGCATCACTCATCAATGACATCGTTAGTGGAAAACATCCATTGTCAAAACGTTTGGAAAGTGCAAAAAAACCAGTCATCATTGTTGGTGTTGATCAATTGGCTAGACCGGACGGTGAAGCAATTCTCACAGCACTTTATGAATACGGAAAGAAATTGTCTAAGAATGTGAGTTATGGAGACGCTTGCCGAAAAAATGATTTAAAATAAAAATGGTGATCTTTTTTTTAAATTTCAGGGATGGAATGCATTCAATGTATTGCAACGCAATGCTGGCACAGTTGGGGCTCTTGACGTTGGAATTACAAACACCGTCGAAGATGTGATTGCATCAAAACCAAAATTGTTATTCCTGTTGGGTGCTGACGATAATCAGATCACACGTGATAAATTGCCATCAGATTGTGTTGTCGTTTATCAAGGACATCATGGTGATGCTGGTGCTACCATTGCTGATATCGTATTGCCAGGCGCAGCCTATACAGAAAAACAAGGAACATACTTGAATGCCGAGGGTCGTGCTCAGCAAACATGGACTGCTGTTACCGCCCCAGGTTTGGCTCGAGAAGACTGGAAAATCCTTCGTGCGCTCAGTGAAGTTGTCGGCCAACCATTGGCATACGATGATCTTGACGATATTCGTGCCCGCTTGGAAGAAATTGCACCACATCTTACCAACTACGGCAGACGTGAGGGAACACAACTTGCCTCGTTACCAGCTTCGGTAAGAAAATTTCATTTCGACTTTCAATCATTTCTACACTACACATTTGATTGATTTAATATTGTCCTATTTTACAGAAATCAAAAATTGGAAGCAACAAAATCGACATTCAACAAAAAAAATTAGATGATTATTATATGACTGATGTTATTTCAAGATCGTCGCCAACCATGGCCAAATGTATTGCAGCTGTCAGAAAATCAGCTGCAACCGCAAGCCAATAGATGAGATACAATTTATAAAATCTTTCTTATAATAATTTTAAAAAAAAATCTGTTTTAATTCACAATAATGTAAAAATGCAAATCAGGAATACGAATAAACGTACTTCAACTAGTGAAATTAAATTGAAATTTTATTTTGACTGGATTAAACTGAAATTTATTTACATGACAAACGATCACTATACTTTATTTATACAGTGCCGTCAGAAAGTTTGAGACCAAGAGCAAAATTTTCATTTCTTCAAAAAAAAAATGCTATTATTTCAATTCGAATTGCATTTATTTTGATTTTAAACTAATTTTCAGGAAAAAATACATGAAATACTGTCAAAATAATAATATATTATGATATTTTTCCAATAATTTTGGTGGTTTCCGTGAAGACCGGAAATATAAAAAAATCGAAAATAAAATCGGATATTGGCATTAAACGCATTCAAAACATTTCAAATCACAGTCAGACAGGTTGAAGTTTTCCGGTTTGACTTATAAGATGTCTAATTTAAATGTCAATGATGGAATAATGTTGAATAAGATCACCTGATGTATGGTTTCGGTCATATGGCGATTTCATCACTTCTGTTGCATAAACGTGAAAGAATTTTTGTTTTCAATGCTTAAAAATGGCCAAATTCAAGCAAATTCCTATCGAGAAGCGAGCATAAATTGAAACATTGCGAAATATGGGTAAACCGTAACGTGAAATCTCAAGAATTGTTGGTGTTTCCAAGACAGGCATTGTAATAACAATCAGTAGAATCGAACAAGCTGGATCATATATTGACAGAAAACGATTGGGTCGCCCAAAAAAGACAACAAATAACGATGAACGATTCGTAGTAATGCTGAGCACACGAAATCGATTTCAGTAACATCAGTCAAATCAATACTAAAGAAACATGGTCTAAACGGTCAAATTGCGGTAAGAAAACCATTGCTTCGTAAAGGAAACAAGCAGAAACGATTGAATTTCGCTCGAAAATACAAGTATTGGACAGTCAAACAGTGGGAATCGGTCCTTTGGACCGACGAATTCGAGATTTTTGGTGGAAATCGCAAACAGTATGTACGTCGTAGAGAAAGTGAACGATTCGATCCCAAGTGTGTTGTATAAACAGTGAAATATGGCGGTGGTTCGGTGATGGTCTGTGGTGGATTCAGCTACGATGGCGTTGGTGCGTTGGTGTAAATCGACGGAATAATGAAGAAAGAGCAATACCATAATATACTGCAGCGAAGCGCTATTCCCTCAGGTATCGGTTTAATTGGATACGGGTTCATTTTTCAGCAGGATAATGACCCGAAACACACTTCTAAACTTTGTCTCAACTATTTGGAATCCAAAGAAAATGAAGGCGTGTTGCAAATCATGGATTCGCCACCCCAATCTCTCGATCTCAATCCTATTGAGCTTTTATGGGAAGAGCTGGACAAAGGGGTCCGAAAAATGCGACCAACGAATCAAACACACCTCTGGCAGTGTCTAGAAAAGGCGTGGAATGAAATTGAAGTCACAAAATTGCATAAACTTGTCGAACGGATGCCTAGAATCTGCAAAGCGGTTATAAAATAACGCGGTGATCATTTTGACGAAAAACGGCTTATTTGATTTTTTTCAGTGATCCACAAAATTATCGGAAAAATATCATAATATATCATTATTTTGACAGTATTTCATGTGTTTTTTCCTGAAAATCAGTTTAAAATCAAAATAAATGCAATTCGAATGAAAATAATTGATTTTTTTTTTGAAGAAATGAAAATTTTGCTCTTGGTCTCAAACTTTCTGACAGCACTGTATGTCAACATATGTCATATCTGTAGTGAATGTTAAACACAACAAAGATGGAATTTTGTTACAAAAAATTACTTCAATAAATTAAATTAAAAAAAAAATAATAATTCGTAACCGAAAACTTTCAAATTATGAGGAGACAACGTCAAGTATGTTCATATAAGAGAAAGAAAAACCCAAATTTATCGGTAATGCGACAAGATGTTTTAACATTGACTTATCAATAGTATCTTGTTTATTTTGCAATTTTATTATATATGTCTCTTCTTTTTATCGATAGGCTCTCATTCGAATATTCATTCAGTTTCGTTAACTAGATCACAGAGCATTCAACTACCTAATGGTGGTTATTTACAAATGTCACCAAATGTAAGTAACAAGAATTTTTTTTTGACGTTGCACTAAAGGAGCGAGTACGACGTTTCCCCCTTTGCTAAGCGAAATAAATCCGATATACGGCGCTGATTTAAATGTCACTCTATGTCATTCCACAATGATACATTTTTTGGCTTGACAATATATAAGCTCTTCATTCAACATGCATAATTTTTGAACGGTCGAGTAAAAAAAAGAAACATATCATAAAATATTCTTCTTACGTTTATCATAAAAATTCTCTATATTTTAAATTTATTTGTTTAAAAATAACAATAATTTCAATTTTTTTTTTCATAGATTGAACAAGAATCTAATGTAAAAAGTAATACCAATGCGACACCTACCGTTAAAATAGAAAAGGAAACTTATTTGGAATTGTAACATTTTGGTCCGCCATAACAGCATCTTCGTTTTGCTTCTCTGTGATTGGTCAAGTAAAACGAAGATGCTGTCATGGTGGACAAAAATGCTACAATGGATACCAACTAAGTTTCTTTTTGCATTTTTACGGTAGGTGTCGCATTGTCATTACTATTTACATTAGATTCTTATTTAATCGATGAAACATTTTTTGTTGAAATTATTGTAATTTATAAACAAATTAATTTTTTTATAAAAAAAAAATTTTAATAAATTTTTTAATGAAAAATGTTAGAAAAATATTTTATGACATGTTTTTTTTTCAACGATTCAATAATTATGAATGTGTATGCATTTTAAATGAAGAGCTTATATATTGTTAAGCCAAAAAAGTATTATTGTGAAATGACAGAGTGACATTTACATCAGCGCCGTATATCGAATTAATTTCGCTTGGCATAGGGGGAAATATTTTGACAGATAGTACTCGATCCTTTTGATATTTTTTCTTTCATAGGGTCCACCTATGATTCATACAGCCAATGTATATTCGCCAATTCCATCTTTAACAACAGCTGATAGAGTTGCAGAACTGCAAAAAGAAAAAGTGAACAAAACGGCGGAAAGGCAACGAATCATAACTGAAATGGAAAATGTCAATAATTCGCGCGACCGTATTCAAAACGCGAAACGCGACTCAAAACGGTTGCATATCAAAGCAAGACAATATTTCGTTACCAAAGGAATAAAGAACATTAACTTTTTATTATACAAAATGTGTAAGTTTCGTTTTGTGCTGATCCGATGGAAATTTTTTACCCCCAACATACCCCCCAAAGGGTTTTTAGAAATTTTCACTCCTTCATAGTGAGCCTGATATATGAGACACCCTGTAGATGGTAAAAAATTGCGAAAAATGGAAAAAAATAATAATTTTTTTTCTTCGATTTACAAATACTGCTCAATTTTCTATGTCACCTGGTTAAATCAGAATGAAAAAATCCGCATTCCTTATCATCCAAATCACGATTGGCATCCGCATATTATTTAATGGGTGTTATTTGCCTGCTAAATGGCAACCTTATATGAAACTCTCGGAGACTCGGTATAGAGCACAAAAAGTGAATTTTTTTCTCAATTCTTATGCACAACTAAAAGGCCTATTGTTGACTGATTGTAAAAGTTTGCTATTTCTGTCACCCAAATCGTTGTTCAATGCTATCTCGCTCACCCTTACATGTAATTTCTCAATGCATGGTGTTTACAAACAACGTTCTATTGACACACAACTGCGCAATAAAAATTGCTGATACAAGCCATTTGATTGTGTATGAAATTTGAGAATAAGAAGTTTTTTTTCACTTTGTGTGTTCTATACCGAGCCGTCGAGAGTGTGAAATATTTATACCGTTAAACTGCGTCGCATATCAAAGCGAAACAAAATTCTGTTACTAAAACAAGGCAGAACAGTGGCTAGTTATCAGCACAAAACGAAACTTACACATTTTGTATGATAAAAAGTTAATGTTCTTTATTCCTTTGGTAACGAAATATTGTCTCGCTTTGATATGCAACCGTTTTGAGTCGCGTTTCGATATGCGAGTAAACAATAAGTTGTTTTTATTCTAGAGCGTTCAATAATATGATTAAGAAACTTTAACGCTTTATTTCCGTAATTTTTTTTATACACATTTATGACTTAACTATTTCGATTGGCTGAAATGCATTGAATCAATTAAATCAAGAGAAGAGAAAAAATCCTAGCTTTTTTCTACAGAACTTTATATATATATATATGTATTGAATTGCAATTTCTTTGTTTCATTAGAAAATAAAAAAAACTTTCTGAAAAACGGAGAAATAAATAAATCCAAATTAAAATGCACTCGGTTTAAATGAAATTGTGTTTTTTTCTGTTTGAGGATTCGATTCGCCAAACGACAAATAAATGAATCCAACAATTAAACTAATCTAATATATTCGTTCGTAGAAGAGCAAATATGCCTGAGCATTGAGCACTTTCTCTTCCGTTGTTTCCATAACATGAGAATCAGAGACATAGTACCATTTTCCTTCTGGTGGTGCTGTCATTATTGGTGGTGTATCTCGTTGATTGGTCGATCCAATGCCAGAGTCCGACGATGATTCTGATGTCGCATCATCGCTATCGCCAGCTTGAAGTCGATTCTCCTTTAAATTAGTCTTTTTCAGTGCTTTTTCCAAACGTGCTTTTTGTTCATCAGTTTGATCCAATTCGACCTTGCTACCTTGCGGCAGGAATTTCCAACGTGGATCGTCTGGGGTTAGGTTTGGTCTCACCTTTGTGCGAGGAAAAAAATCGAAATCAATAATCACACGATATATTTAATTTATTTAAAAAAAGCCACTAATATTCTTACCTTAACATATGCAACGTAATGACCACCGTACATTGAACCCGAGTGTTCAACAATACCATACAGTGAGTATGTTAATTTACGTTGATACCGATGCACATTTGGAAGTGTTTTAACTTTTGATGCGCAAAACGAGGCTAAATCCAAAAGCAGTGGGAACGATACATGTTTGGTCATTTTACGGAACATGCATCTTGGTCCAACCTAATAAATAGCATTTAATGAGTGAACATTGAAATGAAATTGAGATAAATTCATTGCCAACCTGGAATCGTTTTAAATGCAATATGAGCACCGCCGGCGGACTTGATATCAAAAATTGTTTGGTTGCATTGGTATTTATTGTTTTGCCATCTTTGCCATTTATCCGCTCCGAACAAGCATCGCAACCGACTTTATTGTTGCCTGTCATCAGTTCAAGTGCGGTAAAGTTGTTTAAACAAGATTGCACCGAACACTCACCATCCTCGCACTGATATCGGGGCGCAATGGTTGAGCTCCAATCAATATAGCTGTGCAAGCGTTTTCGTTTGCTTTTCGCTTGTTTATCTTTTCGATCGCCCAAATTCATCTGTTGAAAACTATCTAGCAAAGATGTTGGTTCCGTTGTTTCGATTTTATCTTCGTGGGAAATTTGCTGTACAAGTTCTTTGCCAGCTTGCGCACTGATGCCCAATTCAACAAATTCACTATTTCCCGTTTTGGATTCTGAAAAAGAAATATTTTTAATTTTCGCGTCTCTTGATTAAAAAATCGTAATGTTTACCATTCAAATCCTTATTCACATTTTCTGGATCATCATCCTTTTTTTCCGATTCGATATTTCCATTGCTATCAATCAATTCAAAGTTAGTCGCTTTCTTTCCGTTGATTTTATTTTTCTTTGCATTAAAATCTTCACTCAAATTATCTTCAACGTCTGCATCAGACTCTTCTTGCGACGATGAACGATTTTTCTTATTGTTCCGTTGTTCATTTCTTAGGTACTTATTCGGTTTTATGATCGAGCTCAATTGATCTGGACTACTTTTACGTCGAATTGGCGGCGCTGGTTTTTCAGACGTAACCGGTAGTGATAAATCGAGGAAATTTTCATGTCGTGACGATGTATTGTGACAATCTTGACATGTAAGCGTTGAAACTAAGAACCCCCGAAACACTTGTTCCGGACATAAAATTCGTTCATTCGCTTGTTGTCCATAAAATTTGCACTTTTGTCTAACTTCATCCGGCACCGATTGCAAGTCCTTTCCACGATAATCATCGTAATAGTTTAGAAATTCCAAAATAACTTTTTGATATCGCTTCAAGTCTTCGGTTCTATGATTTAAAACGAAAATATTACATAAAATGTTGGCCATGAATTCAAGATAAAATGTGATAAAAAACTCACTTAACACCCTCCAGCAAATGTCGAAGCAATTCATGTGAATCATGTTGATCGCCGCCACTAAATTGTGGGCACATTTTTGTTAATGAAGAAAATAGTTTTCTTGGATTATACACACCGCCGCCAGATTGTAATTCTTCCAATGCTTCGGCAAGTGCAGATGTTAAAGGTCCCCATGATTTTAATTTTCCTGAAATCGGGTCCAATTCAATATCCTCATCTTTAAGTTTAAATTTTCCGCCCGGCAACGAGAATCTAGTCATGGTAACATGAAATTGAAAATGACTTTAAATGTTAAATTGAATTTAAAGAAACTCACTCTTCATCGGGTTTCGAAAGTTCTTTGAGCGTCGGCAATAAAAACGGTGTCTGTGCCAAACATTGCATGACCGAATTAAAAAAGCAGGTATTTCCGAGATTTGATAGACCACGAACGCGTGGCAATTTGTTTATGTCGTTTGTTAGTACACGTTTTGCTTGGCCCGGAATGCTCGAGCTTGAGCTCAACGAATGTACAATACTAATCGAGTGTCCAAGCAACGATTTCATCGCCTCTTTATTGATTTGGGGTGCTTCGCCTTCTTTATCACCGTTCACTAAAACTGTGGAAGCACTACTGTCACCATTCTCTAGTGGTGCAACGGATTTGATGGGCGATGATTTTGATTTTGCCAATTCCGATTTAACAAAATCAATGCATTGTTGTAAGTTGGACTCAATGTTCAATACGTCTGCATCACAATCGTAGCACCAAATTTCCGACCTAAAGAAAATCAATTTCATTTTATTTGATATGGAATTTTAATGAAAAATGTTTGCTTTTAATTACGTTGTGGTATTCATAGCAATTGCATGAGATTCGGATCTCGGTGTCTAAAACGATGGAAAAAAATTGATTTTTGACATTTAACATGTACGTTTTAATTTAATTAAAATGTGTCGTATGCTAACCTGATAATGTTTAAGTGCGTGTTTGTTAACTGTTCGACCGCACAAATGTGAACCGCATTTTAAGCACATCCACAACGAACGATCATATTCATAATCGCCTGTATCAGCATCACCGTTTGACATTTTTGCACAGTCAACGCATTTTTCATTTTCCACCACCGATTTCTTGAACATTTTTCGCAACGATTGAATATTGACGGCCCGTTTGATGTGTGTACATTTTGGTGAACCATTTTTATCCGCTTTGAAATTCTCATCCGACGACGAATCACTGTCGTTGACGTGCGGGTCACCTTGTCTTCGTTTTTTCACCATTTTTGTTTACATACACATTCGCTGTAATCAAAATCCAAATTGAAATTTTATCAGAAAAAAATTCATTTGCAATTTTATTGCGGGAAAAAAAGATATCAATTTTCATTTCACTATCATAGAAAATTCGAATTTAACCTCACTTTCTTACTCTTTCCCACTCTATCTCTATAAAACGCGAATTTGCATTTCATTACATTGGGAATGGGCAAGCGATTGAACTATCGTGCAACAACAAAAAAACTAAACAAAATTATGGAAATGCAAAATGAAATGATAATAACATTCAAAATAGCAAGCATAACTTCACGTCGAAATAATAAACAAATCGAGTGCATAACAAATGCACAAAAACTTCTTTGTCTTTTTTTACACACAAAGAAACTTCAAGGTATTTTGATTTTTCGATAAAAAAATTTAAGAATTTTTGGTCACCAATTTTGATTAATAACTTAAAAATTAATTTTTAAGGGGGGTTTTAATTCAAATGCGTAACAATTATTTTTGCGTGGATTTCTACACAAATATTTGGTGTCAGCAATTCTCTTTAAATAAACACCTTTGTTACGGAATCCAAAACACAGACAAAATAATTTTCTTTGCCTTGAATTTAATTGTACTTGTTATCAGTGCCAGTTTTCACCTACCTTTAGCTGTTTATGATTTACCGTTGTATCGATTTTATTTTACTGCAACCAAATCACTTGAATCAAGAAAATTAACTTAGCAAAACGTAAAATTAAAATAAATTCTTTTTTTATGACCAAAGGAAATCAAATCATCGTGTTGACAGATAGACCAACTTTTTTATATAAAGTATTTTCAATTCATTCCAACTGGATTCCACTTGGAAAACAATGACACAAGTTCAAGCGCCGACCACCAGATGCGCTGACCGTCACATCAACCAATGTCTAACGTGAAGTTGGTTATTTTGAATTCGTTTTTATTTAATATTCATGACCGTTTCATTTCGACTCTTTCAATAATTTCTCTTATTTTTAATCACTCTTCTTTTGGAATTATTCAATAAAAGACCATTTTGCTTAACAATATAATCCAATATGGGCCATTTTTATTTGCAATACCATAAATGCTATTTAATCTCTTTTCTATAATTTAAACTAAATGCAATCTACAGTCTAAACATTGTGTTAGCTACTTGATTTTGTGTTGCATGATTTGTTCTTAAACCAAGTATAAGCTAGTTCAATTGAGTACATCAAAATTGTGACAAGAGTGCACATGTTTAAAAATAGTATGCAACCAACATAACTTCCAGTGATATCCTTTATAAGACCTGAAATTAAGTGAAATTCCACATTAAATATATAATCGATTTCCTCCGTTCACAATGTATCAAAACTCACCTAAAACTGGTCCAATAACCATCATTACAACACCGTTACCAAATAATTGAATCGCCGAAGCCGATGCCAGTCGATCGAGAGGGATATAAGAAGGAATTACAATGCTCATATAAACTGAACGTATACCTTTTGCAACTCCCAAAGCAGAGCATATTATCAGCATATTTACGTAGTTTGATGTAAACATCATGGCTGTAAATGAACATTTTCTTTTTAGATGTTCAAATTTCAATAGATATCAATGTTATTGAAGCTTACACATTCTTGTTAGCACCAATAGAACAAGGCTGATTAAATATGAGACACGAATTGACAGATTAAATTTGTCGGCGATGAACGGCGAACAGAATCGTGATATTAAATCGGATATTGCCATTGCAAATAGAATGATTGATATTTCGTCGGTGTTAAATTTCAAATCCGATAAAATAAACGGAGTTAAAATGGCGAAATTGGTCTCGGCAAAAATGGAGATTGCCATTCCGATCATGATGTTTAAATAAATGTTATCGCGCAGTAGATCCAAATCGAAAAATTGCACAAACCATTTAAATATGGAGCAACAACAACATTTGTCATCGTCGTCATCCTGAGGTGGTTGTTCAACGGGTAAGTTAAATTCGTTATCTTCATGCATGACATTCATTTTTATTTTTTCGGATACAGATGGATTTTTTTTGATATTCATCTCTGGTTCTTCGCCGGGCACAAAAAGATGCGAAGCACGTCGCGTCGTAAATCGCAATGCATTTATTAAATTTTGACTTTGCCTTCGGAATGGCATAAATATTGATTTTCGTGGGCCACCATTTGGAGCTGTTGTTACTGTTGGTTCTTTAAATAATTCCAATGAACTGGCCAAATGCACCGAACCCACTGATCCCGATTCGAACCATCGTAATGGTTTGCCAATTTGTATTTGTGGCTCAGACATATCAACATTGGACCTATTATGATTTAATAGACCGAGCTGTTCTCGTTGTGGAATTGTGAGAAGTGTACGTTTTGAAAAGTTTCGAGCAATTGCTGCTTGATCAAGCTTATTGCTTGACGGTTGTCGGTGAATAATTTGATCAAAACCGTAGATACTTTGTGTATCAATATCATGACTTAATTCGAAATGTGATGATTTTTGATCGAAATTAAGGTCATTGATTGACGCATACGCAGGATGAGGACCACTGTTCGGAACAACTGCAACGAAAATTTATTATTTTTATACTTTATTTTTTACAAAAAAACCAAAATCACTTACAGCTTGATTCGGAATATTTGCCAATTGAAAGCAAAGTGGATACGTTTGGTAAGATGGCAGGAAAATGTAATGGTTCTTTGAGTGGTAGATCAAAAAATGTATCTCTGACAAGATGCAATTTCAGTGGTTGCAGCATTATAGCTGCAACTAGCATGTGCAATGCAATGGCCCCGATAATCAACATACAACCATTCACACCGTATAAATGCAACAACAAATTGATTAACGGTGGATAAACGATGGGACCGATCCCTGCTAAGGTCATTGCAATACCAGAAGCCTTATTCAGTTTGGTCGTGAAAAATGAATTAAGAGCTAAATTAAAACTCGAATTCGACATTCCATATCCAATTGCTAGAAAAAACCCAAAATTCATATTCACGAAATATACATTCAAGCATGGCAGTGTTTACAAGTTAATAAATTTAGTGTGTTATCTCTGAAATCACCTGTTATTATACTGTAGCTGATTACGAGACCGAATACGCTATCTGTTAAAGCAGTTAGCATCAATCCAGTGGAGAATAGTAACGCAGCAACAATGCTTATTTTTCGATAACCAAAATATTTTAATAACGGCCCATTAATCAATCCCAATGACATCGAGAGCGCTGAATTGATGTTAATAATGAGCGTCACGTCAGCTGCTGGAACCCGCATTTCATCAAATTTGTCTTTGAATATCAAGCCGATATTGGAAGTTGTTGGAATGCCTACGAACTGTAGTGTAAACAAAATGCCATGAGTGAAAGTCGATTGAGTAAAAGTGATAAATATTCTTTTTCTCGTATGAAATGCACTATGGCTGTTTTTGAAAAAGTACACAGCACAACGGCTGATAAGATATGCGACTAAAGTGGCAGCAAGCGTTTAAAACTCAAAATTTTCGAAAAATAAGTGAAATGCGAAAAAAAAAACATTCTTTGTTCTCTTACATTTGCAATGGCGTAACTGATGACAATGACCCAGCCATAATTTCCATTTGGTGGAATCATATCTGCATCGGCTAATGTCTTCTTTTGTTCCCTTGACTTTGACTTTGACTTCATTTTTTCACTTGATTTTTACTGGTTATTCAAACAAACTTTGATCACAATAAAAAACTATTTACTTTCTTAAGTCTCTAAAAATAGCACATTTTTTTTATCACAGAATATTAACGATATTTTAAGCGATTTTAAGTTCTTGTTTTCTTTGAGTTATTTAGGCGATTGAAAGTGAAGTAGCAATTTTGCTGTTTGCTTCTATCGCTCTGAGCGCATATTTCCGTACTAAAGACATTTCAAGCGGTCGCTGAATCTTGTTTTCTCCTCTGCTGTTATTGTCGTGCTATTATCTTTCGCGTACACTAGATCACACACTTGATTTTGATAACACCCAGTCTTACGCATTCTTCGCTGAAATTCTCAGTGTGTTGTCGTTTATTTATTTTTTTGCAATATCCCCAAATTAGTTGAAGTGCCGATCACTCTAAAAGACTTTGAAATAAAAAATTGAATGGTCTCCAATTATCTATCTAGCTCATTTGAATATGAACGTTGGACAGTAGCTATTTCATTGAATTGAAACCCAAGCAATGCACTCTCGCCGTTATCAACATGAAATGAAATGTAGCATGAATAACAAAGTCATAATTAAGCGTGACAGACATGAAATAACAATGAAAAAACAAGTTTCACTCAAAGAATTTTCATACAAACGGGGGTTTAATGTTTCTTTATTTTTATTCTATTAATTTTCATAAATTTAATGTATTATTTTAAATATTATTTTGGTATCAATTTATGGAATTCAGAAACAATGTAATAAAGTTAGAAATGTTAATAAGCGACAGATAGGCAGCTAATTTGAAGATAAAACTTCATGAAAAAATAAAAAAAGCGGTTGTTACGCACACAACTGACGTAACAACTAAGTGTACAGTTTACTGATCAAGCACAGTGTCAATACACACGTATATGAATTTAGATACAAAGTTAGTGGTTTTATAATGCGCGAATATGACTGTACGGAACTTTAAGACTTGAAATTCGTAAAATAATGTGATATAATCAAAATGCATATACATTCAAAGCCGAATTGATAAGAAAACGTAATCATTTCGCGGACAAATGTTATCAGCTGTTTATTGTTTTGGCTAAAGTAAAACCTCGATCAAATGACTGACGAAAACCGATGTACATGTGTTTGTGTTGTATTTTGTATGAATCATGGTTGAAATTAAAAATTCTTCACATGTTGTCAAAAACACACTTCGCCCGCGTTTTGAATTAGTTGAATATTCAGAGAGATTATCGCTGTGTACGCCTTTATATTTCATAAGTACTGGTCGATAAACAAAAAAAGCATTAGTCAATCCTATTGACAACGTACATTGAAACCGTTTCGGTAGACGGACTGTCTGTGATACGTCTTGAATTTCACACAAAACTCGATGTATACATATAGCATTTGATGATCATACTTATGTATATGATAGCTTTATACTACTCGGTGATCTGGTTGCTAAATCAAATTCACTGGCCTCTTCTTATCGGTATGTGTCAATTTAAAACAAGACAATAAACAAATAAACAAGAGTCATGTGGTTCTTTCTTATCAAATGTAATCAAAATTAATCCAAATTTCATAGAGTTTTTCTCTCAGGAAGTTTACATAGTATGATCGAAGAAATTATCATCGCACTCAACCGTGTGAAATACACACATAGTATGTGCACGTACATGAGCAGTTGCATAAAATGCAGCGCACCAAAAGCCGTTCCCAATTGATTACCGTCTCTATCTTAATCGACGAATGCGCGCGCGCACAGTCGTCTTACTACATACACGGCACATTTCGTTTTTGACACTGCTGTGTGCTGTTACAATCGTGTATTTCGCGCTCAATTACATATGTGTGCGTGTTGTTTTTGTATATATTTTCAATCCGATCATAGAACAAAGCTATTGAGAAACCGTGAAACAGTCGACTGCCAATCTCAATACCGTTCGCATCAATTCGAATAAACCGAATTTTTTGCATTCATTTTCATTTTTTTAAGGGAATTTCCAGCCGCATAAACGATAAACGACGACATTTGTGTGATTCATTTCAATAAACCGTTATGATAAATTTTTTCAGTAATTAAACTAATGTGGGAATACTTTGATAGTTACGTTTAAATTGAACTGCATTTATTTAGCGAATACAAGCTTAAAATTCGATTCAAAGTTCAGCCGAAACGGTGGCCGTTTTGTGAAGCAAACGAAGGTGAAACAGAACATTTTCTAAAAATATTTATATAAATGAGGATAGCGAGCGAAGAGAATCGCCAGTGAATGAATGACTGAATGAACGAATAAAAAAAAAGAAAATAAAATATACAAACAAACTACAAAAAATAAAATAAATATTAAATCAGAAAACGAACAAGACGAACATTTATTTATAAAATATATTCCGTGTTCCGTCGTTTGTATGAATCAGTTTGCAAAATTATTCATAACCAGCAACGCTATACAATACAAATTCGGTGCTTTTTACAGGGCTACCTAATAGGACGGTCCAAAAATGTATACCAAATGAAAGCTTTGTGAGTGTTACAGTTTTTTTAACACTCCAAAACTGACACATTCATCTTGAAATTTTAATTCAAAGCAAAGAAAACTTGACACGCCATAAAATGTTAAATTATTTTAAGCTTTACATCTATAATTGGAAATTTCAAGATCAATTTTAAAGCGGGAGGCCATAATTTAATTCGCTTTCAATTCATCGGTTATACTTTTTGGTCAGCCCTTCCACCTAATTGCAAGCGTATAATTTAATTCGCGGTTACTCTGGCAAATAAATATTCAGACGAGTAAAAAACGCCAAATGACGAGACATTGTATACTTAGACTTGAACTTGAATCAAAACGCATTTTCAGTAAAACACAGAATAATCATTTAAAATTTTTTGTGTGTGTTATCTTATATTTTAAAAGGCGCCGTGTTTATTTCATCGTTTTTTTTTTCATTAAAAGAATACCCGAAATTATCAAAAATAAATCAAAGCATTTATGAACTTCGACGTGGCGACGATAACACATTCATTGTCTTGAAAACGAGCAAATGTTTTTTTGAATTGAAGGCAATAATGTTTTATTTGTGTTTCAGATAAACAAAGCCATTGACAAAAATCATTATTATTCCAATGAATATTGGCATATTCGTTGCCTCGTGATGTTAATTATCGTCCAAAAATGAATATCTTGTTGAATTTTAATTTCACTTATCACTCGGTGATTATTTGCAAATAGACAGTTTTTTTTTTGGTAATCGTGTTTTTTTGCTTTATTTTGGTTTGTCCATCTTTTTTTCTTTAGTTAAATTGGGACTTTTCAGTTTAGATTTTTTTTTTTCATGCTGAATATGATTCAATCGTGAAAGAATGTTTGTCGTTATTTATTTAAAGATATTTTTCCATAATTGACGGAATTCCTTGATATAGATACATAACATGTTTGTTGGCGTTTTAGTTTAGTTCCCTCTTTATTAATGTGCACTTAAATTATATGGTGGGTAATAAAAAAAAATTCACATGTAATTGTTTCCATTGAGATGAGTGTAATTCATCATGCGCAAATATTGAATAGAACCACACATGTGTAGTACAAATCTATAATTTGTTTAAATTCATGACGTGAATTATCTTTAATTACAGAACTGTGTCGTTATCAAATGACAAAATCCATGTGTGTCAACCTCATTTTAAATTAACTCATTGTCTACACGGTGTTGAGAAAATAAGTCGACAGAATCGACAATTATCAATTCATTTGAAGCACAATGCAGCAAGGAGATGGTAAATCGAATCGATTTAATGACAAAATCAATCATCCGGCAGCCAATGGTGTAAAAGTGAAAAAACCAAAACAAGGAAAATGCGATTTGGGTCCAGACTTTGTGGCACCTGATGGCGGTAAGTGTGTGAAAAAAGAACCATCTGTTTGAATTTAATGCTGTAAATTATTTTTTTCTTTTTATCTTATTAGGTTGGGGCTGGCTCGTTGTTATTGCAGCGGGTTGCAGCAATGTAAGTCATTCGATGATTTATTAAAATTATGCGAATAAAATTCAGTTGAAAATGCCATTTTCTGGAAATATTGTGGCAGCAATTGTAGTATAAAAAAAACTCGTTATCGGATTATGATTAAAGCTGATTTTAGATCACATGCAAAATGCAATTAGTAAGTGTGATGATTATTAACGTTTACTGATTTATTTCATTGCAGTTATTCACTTTCCCTGTGTTGCAGCAATTTGGTTTATTGTTTAAAGAACGTTTAGAATTGATTGGCTTAACAGCATCTGAAATAACGACTGTGATCAATCTTAATCCATGTATAACGTCATGTGTTGGTAAGAAAGCAATTAAATTTCTATATGGATCGAGTATATCACTTGATCGACGCCAATTTGTCACCTATTTTATCGCTTCCACAGTATAATTAAAACAATTGTTTTTTTTTCTTCTCACGTTTAAGGCCTTCTCAATGGACCAATGTTTCGAATGTTTACATATCGACAAATTGCCTTATTCGGTGCAATTCTCGTGAGCATTTCAATTTTTCTAACATCGATCTCGAATTCATTCACCACATATATAATCACATTCTCCATTCTGTATGGTAATTATTATTATTGTCTCTGTTAAAAACGACATAAATACAAATAAATAAATGAATAATTCATATTGTGTCTTAACACAGGAGCCGGTTCTGGCATCAATTCGTCTGCCAATTCATTGGCACTGAACACATATTTCAAGGAAAAACGACGAATTGCAACTGGACTTTCGTGGACATTAACAGGAATGGGACCCATTTTATTCCCGCAAATTATTGCAATTTTAATACCATTTTACGATGTGCAGGGCAGTCTTTTAATTTTTACCGGTATTGCATTGAATGCAATCGTTTGTGCATTGGTTTTTCAGCCAGTGCAATGGCATATGAAAAAAACAAACACCGAAAATGTGGAAGAACGTTTAATGAGGCCGGCATCAGTGGTGCATGAATGTGATTATTGCCGAATGACAAAACGCCAAAATCCAAGCATACTTTCCAGTCAATACCTGTATAATGCGGATAATGCGAATGCCACCGGGTACGAAATTATTGATCCTGGTGTACCAATGTTATCACTCGCAAACGATGGCTGGTCCTCAAAACGATCACTATACGGATCACGTGCATCACTTTATTCCGATCGGCAAAGCCGTATCGGCTCACGAAAACCCTCAAGCCAAAATTTAGTAAATTTGAATCGATCATCGTCGGTCAATTTGGTTGCAATGGCAAAAGAACGTGAAAAACGAAAAATATCATCGCATAAAATTGAAGAGCACCCAGAAGATGGTTCAAGTAGTAAAAATTCAAAGGAAAATGTTGATGTTACAACGCGACCAAAGACTCCAATGACACCAAAAACACCAGATGTTCATATTTCAATGGATGCACCGCTCGAAATGAGGTACATAAATGATCATCAAACCGATTTGACCACAAATAAATTACCATTCAGTCGTGTCACTTCACCACGCCGCAAAATATCAACAAATAATAATTTTAATGTTGAAAAAGAGGTGCTGAAAAATGTATCGCAAAAATTGGAAGAATTCGTTTCGACCGGTGATCGTGTGCCAACAATAACAAATTTAGAGGGATTTTGCACGTGCGACGAAAAACTTCGAATGTACTTAAATCCAACATTAAGTGACGAACACGATAATGAAGTGATTGAAGAAAATAAACAAAAACACTCAATCTGGCAAAAAATTGTTGTGTTTTTTGATTTGGACCTTCTACGTGATTTTACTTACGTGAACCTTATGATGGGCGTCACATTAGGAAATTTCGCGGAATTGAACTTTTCTTTGTTGACGCCATTCGTATTGGCCGATTGGGGTTTTGAAAAGCCTCAAATTGCAACCGCAATGAGCTTATTGGGTGGAGTTGATATTGCAATTCGATTTTTTGTACCATTCATTGCTGGCAAAATCGGTTGGCAAAATAAAACATTCTTTTTGGTTGGGATTTTCGGAATGGCGATGGGCCGAGTGTGTAAGTTCTGTTTTTTTTTTCGTTTTATCTTTACTTTGTTTTTGTTTTGTACAAATGTACAAAATCGAATATGTTTGCATTAAATAAGAAGTTGATTTCTATATTTCTATTTGCGACAGTTATAACATTTTATAGATCGTACATGGCAATTTTGTGTGCATTTTGTTGGATTGGTTTGGGCAAAGGGCTGCGAACTGTTTTCATGGCTCTAGTCATTCCGAGTTATGTGCCATTACACAGGTTGCCTGCCGCTTCTGGTCTACAATTAATTTTTGCTGGCATTTTCTACTTTTTTATGGGTCCCGTCGTTGGTAAGTTTTTATTAAATTGCGTATTTCAATTGAAAATACGGAAAAAAAGACTCTAAAAATTAATCTTTTATTAATCAAATGTTTTTCTCTCTTATTGTAAATGATCAGGACTTATTCGAGACAAAACTGATTATGTGGTGACATTGCATTGCCTGAACTTTGCGACATATTTCGTAACGATTAGCTGGCTAGGTGAAAAATTCTATCGTGATTATCAGCATCGAAAACTAACACAAACCGAACAAAATGGAACAAATTGAGCGAGCACAAAAATTCATAAAGAAATGCACAAATAAAAGTGTCACAGTTAATTATCACAAATCATCAATTAAACGTGCGCCCTTCATACCTTCCATTTGAATTCGAAACAAACTCATCATTCATGTTTTTTTCTTCTATCCATGGAAAATAGTCCTTTTTTCAACATAAACAATAATTTATTCTGTATGTAAAATTCTTCATCGAATTCAATAAAATGAAATAACGTTAATTCATAGGAAATATTTGTGGTTTGATGTTTGCTTTGTATGAAATGTGATTGACAAAATTAAATGGCACATATGCATATCGGTTTTGAAAACATAAAATTGCAATGAATTGTGTATGTGTACGTGTAAAAAATCTAAACTTTCGATTCAATGACAATAAATAATTGTTTATCATATGATTGTATTGGAATTGAAATGGAGGTCAATCAATCGTTGATATTTTCATATGGGTGGACTACCTTCGCAATTTTTTTTAACCGATCGATTGTTATTTAACTCGATTGGAACACTTTGAACTTACAAAATACACAGAATCTAATGACGAACGTCCTGTGTTTATGTTTATATGTAGAAATAGCGGTGTACACGATTTTTGAATGAAGGACCTATAAACAGTCACTTTTGTTTATCGAGTAAATAATTGGTTTTTCGTCAATAAATTCACTTGAAAAAATTAAGCGAACATCACTTCTAGTAAGTGTATATACATTGTTTTGTATAAATTTAAATACTTGTTTTCGCGACAAAATACCATAACCGAATGAGCTCGAAATGAGCTGTAACAATGAAATTTTTTGTTTAAGAAAACAAAAGTAATATGCGCATCGAAGTATAATTTGTTACTTGACGAGTGTGTTTACAGAATGAACGATCAAATTTAATACATTCAAAGAAGAATTGTGGTTTGTTTTGCATTGCGATGACGACGACGATAAAAAAACGCCGATATATGTAAACGTATGTCATCGATGTTCGTGGCGTTGAAAACTAAAGGGAAACGCTTTCGACAAACAAACACACAATATATTTCAACGTGTCGAAGGCAGTTGCTTGTGTTGTTACAAGCGATCTTACAATCATGATTTGAGTGCATGATCGGATTCTTTTTTTTTTCTCTCTCTCTCTCTCATTAACTTCTTGTTTTTGACTTTTTGAAAGACTGTTCGCTGCTGTTCAGTTATTCTTGACCATACTTGTTTTGTACAGCTAACTGATAGAATCCCTACAATTGGCATTACGAATTGATAAAATCTCGATCGGAATTTTCAAACGAAGAAAAAAAAAACGAAAAAAAAACAGATTATTACAACAACAAAAAACCCATTACATATCTAGCAAATGAATTTAATGCACTGTATTTATAACGGGTTTTCAGTTGAACAGCACATTTTCACACTGATTGCAAATGTGATGTGAACATGTGTCTGTAGCAGCAGCGGCAACCGTTTACAATTCCACTGTTGATTTGATGTGGCAGACAGAATGGCGAACCATGACATTGCACACGATACATTGATTGAAATAAATTGTTCGAGTCAGTTCTTAGTTGGCCGATTTGAAAGTGCTAGTTTTCAAATTCGTTGAGAAAATTCCAGCATTCCAAAGCAAATCGAAATGAAATAAAAATTCAGTCGACACTTTGTTTACATATGGGAAACATTTTTTTCGACTCTCAGCTAATTCAATTTATCTTTCTTTATTTTTATTGATCGGATGAAGACAAATAAAAATATCATTTATCGTTTCTCCACAATAATATTTACATAAAGACCAATATTATCAAGTGTGACTGTAGTAAAGAAAACAAACAAAAATTTCTAATTAGATTTTTAATGCCATGGCTTAGATTGTGTAAATTGTTTGTATTGCGTTAAAATGGATAAAAATATACCCGTATGACTCATGATGATATGAATGTGCATGCGAAAGCGGAAATGAACAAATATTCTCGGGCTGTATTACATATATCGCTATATAAGTGACTCTATCGAAAGAAAGAGCATATAAAATATGCATGAATTGAGAGAAAGAGATGTGCTCTTTTCATTGACGACTAAAAAGGCCATCCACAAAATGAAAACAAACTCATATTCTGTGAATAGGATGTGTAGCCGAGTTTGAATCACGTGATAAGCACGTGAATGACATACGATTTTTCCATTATGACCTTCTTTTGCTGAAATGCTACGAAGCACCAACAATATTGCAAATGGAAAGCAGTCCAAGTGAAACTTTTATTTCATTCTGAATTCCTTTCTCCTCTGGCATTCTCTGACGACATTTATTGCCAAATCCATTGTTCCAATCGGTGAGAATTCCAAACAATGCAACAACAAAAAAATAAATAAAAACAAAAGAATATGATGGATGTCATCGATAATAAAGAAATTCAAATTGAAAAATAGCGATTCTTTGTGTTTTTGCAGCAAGTTCGACGTACGCCATGAACACAAAACAATCAGCTGCTCACATTCGTGTCGAATGGTTTGCGTCATTTGACGTTTGCGTGTGTGCGTGCACAATATATTTTTTATTTTGGTTGAACAAAGATCAAGGAACAAAGAATCAAAAGTCGCGTTCAGAGAGAAAAACAAGAAGCAACAGAGGCAGACACACAGAGAGAGCGAAATTGTGGCGTCCAAAAATAAAATGAACATAAACCAATATATCGTGTCCAATACACAGCACCCACAATCAATACGAAATACAATATTCACATACACACGAGGACGACCGAATACCAAAGCGTGTCATGAGAGTGAGACAGACAGTGTGTGGCGAATAGAGAATGAGCGAATGTTTTGGTTGTGAATGTAGGTAAACAAAAAAAAAGCAGCAACGGCAACAAGCGAGTTCGATTGTCAATGTGATTGTGTGTTTACACAAATGCGTTTTTTCGGCCGCTGTTTGGTTGCTCTCCCGCCTGCAATGGTATTTGTGAGCCGTCGGGAGAGACAGTAGGTCGTGTTTTTCGTTCATTCATTCCAATGGATTCGCTACGCAGAAAGAGAGAGGCAGACAATCTATCACATTCACTCTCTCTCTCTCTCTCGACATAAACATGGATAATTACACGATGGTGTTTGTACGCGCGTGTGTATGCATACTTGCACATTACACAATGTTCCACTAATATCGTTGAGCGTGCATTCGGGCTTCGGTAGTATAACATTCAGCTAGCATGAAATCGGACAGCATTTGCAAGCTACCACTGCGATGATTTCAAATCAGTTTCTTTTTATTCTTTTAAAATTCCGTTTTCGATAGTTAAAGTGGTTTTTCACACATTGGGTTCCCCTTCATTGTGTTTTTTTCTGTTTATTTTTTTTTATTGCTGTTTTCGGTTAATTTGCTGCCGCTAACGCAACATACACACTAATTTTTGTTCTTCAAAAAGTCCAACTATAAAATATCCGAAATAAATTAGGTTATTTAGTTTTTTTTTCTGTTTTGTTTTTCATAAAATAAAGAAAGAAAGATAGAGCAAGAGAGTAAAAGTATAAATAATAAAAAAAAATTTGTGATAGCTAAATAATAATACATGAAAACAATGTATATTTTTGTAAATAAATTTACAAATTAACGCAGAAAAAGAATCCGATCGGAGTGGCCCGTAATACAAAGCGTACCATATTCAATTTCGCTGTTTATTCCACACAATTGGTTAGTATTTTGATTCCCTTTTATATTTTCTGTTTCCCATTGAGCCAGAGTTTGCATGCCACGCTCATGAAATATTAGAAGTGATAAGTTTTCATAACGAAATATCATTCTCTTTTGCTACTGCTTTTGTTGTTGTTTCACAAGTTTTGAGCACTCATTTCGATTAGAGCGTGTGTATGTGTGTGTGTACGTCTGTGTCTATGTGTCAAGCTATGAATTATTTTTTCGAATTTTTGTCTGTTGATGACATTTCACGTTTTTACATTGTCAAAGTTCTCTTTACTGATTGGATTTGTTTGTGTTTTTGTTTCGTTTCGTTGCGGTAAATCACCAATTTTATTCTTATTTTCTCTTCACTAGTTCAACTAGTTTTTCTTGTTAATTTGAATTGTGCAAGTTGGTGCAGTTTTGCAAGACATATGTGCAAACGTTCGCTCGCTACTGGCTGGTGAGCTATTTCCCCTAAGTTTGGGATATATTTAGCATAAACTTCAAACGATTTCTCACACATCACAATCGATCATAATGTACTTACATCAGAATTTGACGAGCGCATGGCTATAGCACTATGGGTTTGTGTGTTCGTCGCCTTCACCAAATTGATTATATAAATAGATGATGTGGCTACGCATGCAATATATCCCACTGGTTGTGGCACATATTCAGTCCAATGTTCAGGCTATATTCAATTGTCAAAACATCGCACATGTCAACGTAGCCAAAGCAAAGTACATTTAAACACCACCGAGCGGTGTGCTCAAGCCACTGTTCACAGTCTCACGACGTGTATTCAATTATTCATCCTCTTATACGAGTGTGCCGGCATACATTGCACCGCTGTTTACATACGATATACAATTCACAACAATAATAAGTGATCACTTGGGCAACGCTCAGCGGAAGATTTTAAAGACTTTTTTCTTTCTGTCTGTGTTTTTTTTTCTTCTTCGTCTTATTTTGCTTAATTTATCTCGTTCCCTTTTTAACGCTTTTCTTCTATTCACTATGATACAATCAACGGTGGCTGGCATTGACATTGCTCATCGTCATCAAACATGGGTGATATATACGAAGGATTTGCTTATACGATTTCTTGTAATTTAAAATGAAAACTTAAAGTTTGATTAAACTGCATTCATCAAAGTTGTTGTTGTTGTTGTTGCTATGGTTGATTTTGTGAGTGAATGTGCCCTACCGCCCGCTCTCTCGTTTGCCTCGAGAGTTCAAGTTCAAAAGCGTTTTCGCATTTTTATTGAAGCCAACTTTTATTGCATGTTCTCGAACGGGCTATGAAAATTGACGACAAAAGTATTTTACAATGCGCACATTGATATAGCTTTTGTACGAATGAATAATGAATTTCGGTTGGTAACGTCTTCTTACTGTATGTGTCACTCTATTAAGCGAAACTTCGTACTTTACGCTGTTTTTCAACAACAACAAAAATGTATGCTCTTTTTCCAGCAATCATTGCAAGTCACAGTCACGATATGGTATTGCTTGCGAACATACCATTGCAAATAAACTTACAACGTCTAAAAAGTTATAAATAAATTTTCATTAAATTATTGAAGAGTCACTCGGTGCTACGATGCAAAATACGATATAGAGAGTTGAGTTAAAGAACAAAAATGAACTGATGAGCAAAATTATTGCGTACGAAAAATTATTCTGCAATTGCGTGGTTTGAGCTCGCTTTATTTTTCGATCGAATCTAATTTAAATTAAAAAAGTTATTGTTGCCGCGCCAAGTCAATTGGGTCTTGAATAAATTTTCTCCATCTACGAACCATCTACAAAATATCTGTTATAGATATAGAAAAAGGATTTTTTTCTCTCTTTGTCGTTTCGTTTTTTTTTGTTTTCATCTCCCTTTTGCCTGCCGAATGAATAAATATGTAAATCAACAGACCGCACTCTCGATAGATCTTGTGAATAGGCCGTTTCATCTCATTTCAAATTTATGGATATTCCGGCCACTCTGCATGCACACATCCGCACAAAATTCCAGCTATGTTCCGTCTATGTATATGTTTCTCACTCTTCTCCTTTATTCACATGCCATTCAATAGCGCATTTTAATTCGTTTGTGAACCCGATGAATGTGTTTTTATAGCATCATGTTCCAATTAAACTTCTTTTGAATGCGTAAGATGTTTCGTTGCAAATTTTCCACGACGCGTGTGAATTTGAGAATATTATCGAACATTTCAATATGTTTCTTCGGTATATACACGGTCTTCAATTTACATCTTTTATTTTTAATGAGGGTGATTATTTTGAATGCGATTTGTGTACACATGCTGTACGAAAATTTTCTTCAATCGCGATTTTTCTTTAATATACAAAAAGAGGAATGGTATACATGAAATTGCACATGCCCAGCAACAGAAATGCCAAATTATAGTATTTTACTCTCTATTTAGTGCGTGCCGTTATCTCATCAATTTAACAAACACACATTAATTTGATTCGTCGATATTAATTTACTAAATTGCTACAATAATAAACAGACATCACCAAATATAATAGATCGGAAAAAAACTCGCTCCAGTAAACAAAAACACTCGCTTTCAGTGTCACTCGATTTTTCAATTAGCATTCTATCCATCCATTTGTTCGGCACCAACTACAATTTTATTACATTCAACAAGGTTGCATTCTTTCAAGCGTTTGCATGTTTTCTACATTTGATAAAGTTCATTATAATAAGCAGATATAAGAGTATAATAAAATTCGCATACATTTTGCGTGCGTATGACATTTTCATCGAGTTGCAATGCTAAATGAATGATGGTGACGCTGAGTCCTTCCACGATGACAATCCATAAAATTCTCTCTCTTTCTCTCTCTCTCTTTTCGCACTCAGCTAAATGAATCATTCTATTGTAAATTAAATCAGTAAGAGTTTTTCACAACCCAGATACATGTTAAATGTGATTGTTGTTCTTTCTTGGGGAGCATCTCAAGTTTAAATGCATAATATCGTGATTTTCTTAAAATAAATTTGTTGATTTGAATCTATAAATAGGTTCGATCAATTGATTGGTCGTAATATTAATTTACATCGTTTATAATGTATCGTATAAAAAAATGTATGTACGACGAATATCAATAACAGCGATACGGATGATGATGATAATAAGTCAATTTTAGTGGCAATAAAATCCAGAACATCACTAATCATTTCATTGTTATTAGCATTTTCATTAGCAATCATTAAATTTTGCAACACACATCTCCCACCTGTTCTTCAATTTGTTACTTTTTAATCTAAATATACCACGTCATTTGTCTGTCTGTCTGCGATATTATCGATTTCCGACGATTATACATTTTCGAATTTTCTTAGCTAAAGTAAACAACTTTGTTATTTTTAACCAAAGCATTTCGATTTTCTTCGATAAAAAGACGACAAATTCGATATGTTGTTTTTTTTCCTTTGCAGATCTGTATAATTTTGTATTTATTCGCAATCTTCTCATCGCATAGCATATGGCAAACAATCCAAAATATATTCTAGGCTGGTCTAGGCGCGTGTCAAATTTTTTTCGTATGCTTTTCGGCAGAATAAACTTATCGTAAATAAGCCAACCGGAATTAACATAAACATAAAATCACTTCGATTGAGCTACGCCATTCGCAAAATAGAAAATGCTAATATTCTATCACAATCTAAATGGATACAATGTATTAATTGACATTTGGCAATTATTATTACAACAACACCAACACGCCTATTCAAATGTTAAACAGTTGCCGTTGTAAAGCCGATTAAATCAAAATATTTTATTATGATGCGATGACGCAAGAATGTGGTGACAAAGTCATCGTACAAATATTTCAATATTCGGCACGTGATAAGATTCGTTTCGTTTTTATCAAGCCCACAATTTTTTTCCCCATTGATAATGGTGAAATTTTTGCTATAAACGATAGAAAACAACATGTTCAACAATAAAAATATTGTCGTATTTAGTAAATACTATTTACCAAATAGCATTTCTTCCGTTTACATTGAATTTTATTGATCGGGTCAAAGGATTAGATTAATAAAATTAAGACACAACACAAATATTTTGAAATCACTATCACCCTGATTGTTATGAGCAATTGATACAAGGACACTGGCCCCCCCTCAATACAAATTACGGTTATCAAAATACGTCTGATTACTTCATTGCAATGAGTTTTTTTATTCTTTTCTTTAATAAAAAAAAACCACTCGTAATTTTTCATGCTTTTACATTATTTAATTGATATAATCACTTGACAACGGACTCGATCTCGTACTTCCAGTCACGTGGTACTTGAAAACACACACTTAATACTTCTGTTTAATGATTCTGCTTCTGATTTTTTTTTGTATTTTGTTGTTTATTTTATTGTTCAATGGCTCTTATTGATGCACAGTCACAATGAGTAAAGTTGAAAAAAAAAACGAAGACCGATCACTGAGTAAAGAAAATTAAATATATCTGCTTTTCTCGTCCACAGCAAATAATATCTACATTCAATCAACTGATTCGTATGGCTTTTTAAAACATCAGCAATTAAGTCGCATCATCACCAGAATAATAACCGACATTGCTGCCATATATTTTCTGCGTATGCCGTTCGTTTGCTTCGTTCTATGGATCGCCGCAGCAGAATAACTAAGCAAAGAAAAATAAGAGACAGAAAACACGCAACTCGTTAAAATAAAGAGAAAACGAAGAGTTTAAAACTCGTGTCGAGCACGTGAATTCAGTTATTCAATTAAAAAAACGCCACATTTTTGCACTCATCATATACTCAATTGAACGGGTTAAATTGAACGAAATTCATCGATTGTTTGAAGAATATATACATTGATTTGCAGGCGAAAAAAAAGAAACAATTCAACAATAACGAACTGAATTTATGGAATAAAGTCTCTGATCATAAACCAGAACGAAATTATATAAAATAGTCGAAGGAAAAAAAAATGTTTGTTCTAAGCGAAAAGAAAAAATAATCTAAACTAAACCAAAAAGAAGAAGAAAAATAAACAACGTCATCCAGTTTGTTCAGTTTATACGCAACATTGAGCACACTCGATCATTTTTGTTTTGTTCGCAGATTACATAGTTACTTAATCAGTAAACGCACACGGCTGAATCAACGCAAACTACGAACCAACGAACACACTCAGCTCTCTGTCGAACCGATCGAACACATGGTTTCAATTACAAACATAAAAGCACAAGCGTTGTCATTTGATATTTGTATGTTGGTCGCGCAACAAAATACAATCACACATATATGCAAAGTGAGGGAATAGAAAGCATCGACGCGCTCGAACACCGAGAGAGTGAAAGAGTACAAAGTTTAAATCATTCACGAATACGCTTGAAACGGTAGCACATTTAGCAGCTGTGCAATCCGCGTATTGCCAATAAATAGCTCATATTTAGCAAAAGGAGACGCGACAAACACGTTTTAATTGGTGATAAAATATCACAGCGTTCACATCGCTTAGTGTGCATCGAACATCTCTCGCATATCTCTAACTTCACTCTGGCACGGTTATCGAATCTTCTTTTTTTCAAATCAAGTGAACTTTTCCGTCATCGTCGACAACTGCGGCCATCGAAACAACATACTCGTCGTCGTTTTTCTTGTCGGGGTCGTCTCATTTGCGCGATCTATTTTCAATTCGTGACCAGAAAAGCAAAACGAAATTCTACAATTCGAGTGGCCATCAATAATCAGTGATCAGTGAACAGTTTAGTTTAATTTTAAATAAAATATTTTGTTTTGTCTCTAGTTCTCGGTTCATTTTATAATCATTTGAATTTTAAGTTACACACACACACATTGTATAATGAACTCACGATAAATCGGAGCATCGGTTAAACAGTTCCTAATTTAATATTTATGTTATGAATCTAGTGCTTTGTTGTAATCAATTGACAAAAAATAAAGTAACGAGAATAATTAAGGAAAAGCCGTTGTTGCTTTAGTCGTTAACATTAAAGTGCTCTGAGATTGAGATAATCACACTGCTAAAGGTCATTACAATATTTCGTAATTGAATCCTTCATATTATTCCGGTGTATACTGTGATAATCATATCACAATTCGAATCGTTTAGAAGAAATAATTTCAGCATTGCATAAGCAAATCGTACCGGATTTCATTATGCAGAAACCAACCAGAAAAGTTGCCCCAGATGGAGGTAAGATGTGACTGAAAATAAAAATCAAAAACAAATTTGCGTCAGAAAATGATGAATTAATTTTTAAAATTCTAATAATCCATTTGGGCTTTTGTGTGTATTTTTAGGATGGGGTTGGGTAGCATGCTTCGGTGTCAGCCTTGTTAATGTAAGTATTTTGCAAATACTTTGTAAGTTTTTTTTTTGTTTTTGTTGCCAAAACTCTCGAGCAAAATGACTGAATAAATAAGAATGAAAGAGCCAAAATCATCAAGTGGTTCTCCGTTTTCGATTCGGTTCTTAGTCGATTCCATAAATAAAAATTGATTTCGCAATTTTCGACCCACATTGAATGATGTTCATGAAATTGAAATTGAATATACACTTCTTGGATTTCACCAACAAATAACATTCCAATGAAAGTATGAACTGACAAATGGTGTCCAAGTGTTTGAGTGTTTTTTTTTTTCTTATTTCCGTTCATATTTCATTATATACAGTATATGAAGCTCGTTAGAGCCCATACATAAATTGAAAATAAATGAATTTTCGTCCAATTTGCCAATTTTCAAAGTTCTTTCTGTTCATGTTCCGTTCATACAAGCCGTAACGAGGCTTCTTTTACAAACGAAAAAAAGAAGAACCAAAAATATAGTCGGCAATCATAGTGGTTCGTTCTTGTTAATGTTCTAGTTTCATGATGTTGAGTCATTGTGTATCGATCACATTTATTTTCGGTTCAAACTTGTTTGCTATTTAATTAATTGTATTTTATTATTTCTTTTACTTTTCTTTCCATACACGATTTGGTTGATGTCTTTTCGTTGCCGATTGGATGAACACGAATACATCGGCTAATTTAGTTGGCAACACGAGCAATCGAACCATCGTTTGGTTTGCTGTTTGGTGACTTACTGCTTCAATTGGAAGTTAAAACGCTTGGTGCAGCTATAATTATGAGCACTTATGATGTAATGATGAACTTTTCGGGTTTATTTGTTGGGCCATTATTGAAGGAGTTTTCATATCGAAAAGTTGCCATCGCTGGATCTCTATTGTGTTCACTTGGTTTGGCGCTTACATCACCCGCTTCAAGTATGGCACACATATTAATGACATACAGTGTCATCAACGGTAAGAATATTGATTCATTGCAACAGGCTTAATGGAAAATTGAAGAAATCACATTCGTTTCCTAATTTTCAAAATTTGCCCCATTTTTTTTGCTCATTCTCCCCATGCAATTCAACCACATTCAACGGTGACAATATCACGATTGAGTACTTTATCAATTTGGATCGAATACAGAGAAAAAAAAATTTTTATTCGATTTACGCTCGAATTTAGGTCATTTTGCATTTGTAAAATTCATTTCATTGAGCGAATTGTTTTCGATTCAGTCGTAAATGTTGTACTTTTATTAAATATATTATCGATTCAATAAAGTTGAAGCGATAACAATATTCGCAAATTTATTCATTCTTGATGCTGTTAGCAGTTGCTCTAGTTTTCGACAGTGCTTTTCAGCCGATTGATTGACGCAGAAAACCTTTCAAATTTTGATGCCTTCGGGAATTTTTGATAAGTGTAAACCATTTTAAATATTGATATGATAAAACATCGAACATATATGAAACAGACGTGTACAAATAAATGATATTCATTCCATACAATTGTTAATGGAAACATTTTAAAATTGTTTTTTTTTTTATAGCCGCAATGTTGCTGTCATTTTTATTGACAATGTAAAAAAAACCAGATATTGTTACGAAAAAAATAAATCCAAATCGTTCACTGACTATTTTAGAATGTAACAATTCGGTAAATTACCTACTGATGATCCGTTATTACATGTATAAAAGCTAGTATAAAAGTGTCGACCATTAAAAGAAATCAATGAATCTGCTGGACATATTTATTTATCAATTTCATGAATTCCAAAACTAATGCCTGTTTCCATTGTTATTTATGTAAATGCCAAATTTAATTGAAGATGGAAAGAGACAAATTAACAGTCAAAGAACGACGTAGAAAAAAACAAGCTGACAACAATATCCAAATGGATAATGTCAATAGGTTGACGACGTGTGCATATTGAATGTGCTGTTTGTTCAATTGTGATTGTGTACTCAAGGTCTATGACAGTACCATTGGCACTGAAGCAGGCAAACTAATGTGCCATGGCGTGTTATCAACTAACTCGATTCGTTAGCTGGAATGCAAAAGAAACAGGCGAATTCTCATCGTGCACACACACATATATATAAACACACTTCAATCTTGATTATTTTCCTGCGTTCGTCGAATCAGCGTTGGCATTTTATTTATCGCCATATTATGGAAAATGGAATTTATTTCGATTAAATGCAAAACCATGCTTATCGCCGCTTCAATTCCACCGTATTTCTGCTCCAATAATAATTCACATAATTTGCAAATGCGTTTGTGTATTGATTACGCACACAAAATGCGCTTCGTATATTTTAAATGTATTTTGTCCATACAGTTTTTTGTTTGAAGGTTTTCCCATGATTCAATCGCACCGTATATGGCATACCAAATGACCATAATTTCTACCTTCAAAACACAACTACATTCATATATATTTATATCGATTTATTGGCTTTTAACTAATTTATATCGTGGTGGATATACTACATGTCTTCCGGTAGTGTGCATGCAATTGTGCTTACGATTTCAGTGCGATGATAAAAGTTTTCACAAAGAGACAGCACAGCGCTCTTTCTCTCCTGAAACCGGTCTGTATTGTAACATGCATATTTTTCATATCAAGATCATTCGATTTTCTCTCTGTCTCATAGCCGCACACTGATTTCACAAGTTGTCTATTTTGAAATTGCCTCAAATTGGCTGGATCTGAATGAAAACGACTGCGATAATTGGATTTATCGAATGCATTAGAAAAACAAATATGAAAAAAATGAAATTTTATTTAATCACATGTCAACAATAATAAAACAATCAAATTAATACGCCTTGATTACATGTCATAATTTTTCTGTGAAAATGTAACATTTTTTTTTTGTAGAAAATTTATCGACTTTTTCTTGTTACAAAATTGTTCTTTTTTTCAATCTCTCTCTCTCTCTCTGCGGTTTCAATTTCATTTCGCGGTATCCTCACACAAAACCAAAACAAATACGCTTTAATATAGTTGAAGTATTGATTTTTTTCATTGTTGAGTGATATTGCATTAGATTTTCAAATGAATTTCGTGTGTGTTCATCGCCCCAAAAGCAACGCTTCAAAATAATATATCGATTAAAATTGTCCTTCAATTGAATTTTTTAAACAAAAATGCTATTGATGGGCAATTATATCGATTGAAAATGACGACTTAAATATCGTCAGCATTTTCCGCACAAATGATGGATAAATAAATAAATGAATGTGAAATAACTAGTTGTGTGTTGTGTGAAATTGAATAAAATTGAAAACGTGACATAAAATGATGACATTGTAAAACATTGGAGAGAGAGAAAGAGAAACAATGGTTGGTCATTTGCGCATTTATTGTGAAATGTGATTATTCCTCGTTGGTAAATATATTCTGTTTGGTTGTAAACAAGAAAAAAAAAACAAAAATACGCTCATTCAACATTTTTCGCTTCTTATCTGGCGGAATTTTGATTTAAATTGAGCAAAAAAATGTAAGCATTTCCTCTGAAAATTATCCGAAGCATGAAATTTAAATTTCAACGAGCTTATATTTATTTGAAGAAGTCATGGCATTCCAGATTATGGTTTAAATCCAAGGCACATTATCACCTCGCGCGCAACCATCGAAATTGTAAATGCTCAAAATAATTGCTCACCGTAACAACAACGCACGAAAAATAGTGTGGTGATGTGGATAAAAAAATAAGCAATTTAATTCTATTACGTCGTATTATAAATTGTACAGTCAACGGTCTCTATTGCGATTAAAACTGGAGAAATGGCTAATTTTCGCTGGTCATATTGAATTGCGTTTTCGATTCAAAAAGCAAGACAGGCATAACGATAACAAGAATGCAGGAAAAAAAACAGAAATTCAGATGGTTTTCATTATTATCATCTGCAAGAACAGAGAAAGAAGAGAGAAAATTGCTTAGAACCGTTCAGATATTACTGGCATAAATATCCACTAGATTTTGTAAATAATTGCAATTTGTTTTAATTATTTTTTGAACCAGATTAACAAATCCGTAATTAAATATGTATACATGGAACCTGAGCCATGCACATAACGCTTGGCTATTTTACTTAATTATGACGCGGAATAGAACACGTGCATACACACCCGGCCAATGTGAGGCGTGTGTGTGTTTTGTATCAATGCTAAATGAGAGAGTGTTTGCAATCACCACCATCATACCGTGAAAAAATCCAGCCGAAAAATTGCACGCAACCTCATTCACGGCAATGATAAATTGTATTTGTATCGCCACAAACAATTCAGCCGCTAGACAAATTCATTTTTAAGTGAATTTTTCTGTCTTTGTTTTTATTGCGTTCGCATGTATCGCTTTGCTATGCTTTGAGCGGGGCCAATTTAAATAATTCTCGAGCATACTTGTTCAGTGAGCAGACAACACAAGAACAGGAAATTATCTCTGAAGCATGTGCAGAAATGAGCGAATAGAAAAAGAGTCCCAATCGGTATTTCTCGTGGGCTTTAATCGCATAATTACGAACATTCAAAGAATTTTCTTTTTTTTTTTTTTTTTTTTTCAATCGAACCAAAGATAGAAAAAAGTTGGATGTATCGGATTGCAGAGATTCGTAATAACCGAAGTGCATAACTTGATCAAGTACGTGCACACAACACACTTAATATGCTCACATGCTCACATTATAGTGCGTTTAGTCTTTGATTATAGGTTATAATTTTCTCTTTTTTCGTAATATCTCGTTCGGAATCATTGTTGCGCATTGCGTTACATTGATCAATGTGCTTTAGATGAAATTGACTGTGAAACTTTAGGTCAATGACAAAGCGTTACACTTGAACAAGTTTAGATGGGCGTTCAGCTGTTTCAAAAAATAGCCACATTGTGTATCGCTCTCCCTCACCTTTTTCTTCTTTCTTTATGCTTCTATGTCATTTTTAACTCATACACATACATTCTTCGTATAAATCTGTCTTTGTTGTGAAGCACAAACTTTTATCACATCAACCATATGTCACCGCATTATTATTACACCGTAAAGTAATTCGAATGTACCGTTAACATTCAATTTGTGTACGTATGTTTTTGTTTTATCAAAACTATCGAAAATGAAAATTCCTGATGTCAGTCAGTCATGTCGTGATTTTGTTTCAGTTTATCGCATAATAATCAAATTGGAAAAAGTGTACACAATAATAAGTCACATGACTATTTGATAACAGAGTAAATAAAACGCAATCGGTGAGAGATTGATAAATCGACGGCCAACAAAAAAGGAAACCTGACATTCCGGAATAGGTTTCGAATCAACACATTTTTCACAGCACAAACAGATGTACATTCTGTATGAAGCCAAAGTTGATGTTGTTGAACGTTTTTTCCACAACGCGCGCTTATCAATTGAACGCTCACTTTCAATGAAAGTACGATGACGAAGACGATAAACAAAACCTATTTTTATTTGTTTGCACTGTGCGCTGGCTTTTGTCATTCAAATTGAATGCGCCGCATGCACAAAGAGTAATTTGAAATGTTTGAAAATAAAGTGAACGTTAAATAGAGATGGCCAATAAAAGTGATGCATTTAATATTGGTCATATCGATGTTTGTTGTCATTAACGAGCAATTTTACCAAACGACAATGGTGTGTATGCAATTTTTTGTGGAAAAGGGGATGATTATTATGATGCTAACAATGAAAATGAGACTCGCAATAGATTTCACTCACGTTCTCTGCGTCTCTCTTCTTTTTTTTTGCCTAATCAATCTTAAACGAATCGAGCGAGTATTTAATGGGATGAAATGTGTTTTTCATAAACATCAATTAACCACAATTTGACCAAATTAACTGCGTTCAACAATTTTATTATATTTATAGCGATTGCTGTATATATTTGTGCGTTGTGTATCCAATGACATATGTGCCATTCGAATTCACTTTTTATGGACGAACAAATAATTCATTTTATTTTTAAACATCCATCGAAATATTGACGTATTCATATTGCAAATAAAGTTATCACCAGAAAGATACATTGACATGAAGTTTGAACAAAATTCAATTGCGAATTTAATGGAATCGAAAACAGAGTCATGTGATTTCAGTTAAAATGTGATCGTGAAGCATTCACTGGACTCGATATATCTTGATGAATCACATGGTATGTTCGTGAGGCAAACGCTATTGACAGGAAATCAATTGAATATTATCGCATTCTCGCTCTCCCCGTCTATTTCTCTGCCAAGTTATATAATTTAATTACATATGCCAACCAAATGGATAACATGTACTCGTTGAAATTCTCACTGCAAAAATACGGTGTCGAATGTTGAATGTAGCAATTTTCTAGAAAGTTTCTTGTCACCATTTGAAACGTTAATTTAATTATCATAATTATAGCCGATTTAAATCAGTTTAACTTTATTTTTCTTCACCTTTATCTATTTTTTTTTGTAGGAATTGGCGTTGGATTGGCAACATCAGCTGCATTCGTTGCGCTTAATCATTATTTTAAAAATAAACGTGGTCAAGCGGTTGGTTTATCGATGGCTGGCACGGCATTGGGGATGCTAATTTTACCGCAGTTAGTTCGCATTTTATTGGACGCATTTGAATTTAGCGGTGCTATACTTGTATTGGCTGGCTTAGCATTGCATGCTGCCTTCGGTTCGACACTGTTGCAACCCATCAAATGGCATTTGAAAGATGAAGTTATTGATGTTGAAATGGCACCACAAACCGAACACATGGAAACGGTGAAAGAAGATGAAGATGAATTACCCGAAATGAAAACACTTTTATTTCCGCCAGTTAATACAAACGGACGTCAAATGCGTAAAAATTTCTCCGAAGTTGCCATTAGTTCAATGAATAATGGAATGGCAAAACGTCCAACGTTTCCGCGCATCATGTCGAATGGATCGAATATGGCAGGCAATGGTGTTCTTTCGAACGGCGACATAAGCACATCGATTCGCCGGAGAAAAGCATCGGTTATGTCACAATTATCGACGCTAGATTTTATGGGCAGCAATTTACTGGTACACGTTAATGTGAGTTTCAGAATATTTATTTAACGAATCGCTTTATTATTCAATTTTTTTTTCGGCGTTTTAGACCGGAGACGAAGAAGCTGAAGAAGAAGATCGTGCCATTCAAATTCGACGTGTTAATACCGCACTTGGAATGTCAGCGCATCATGAACAAAATTCATTCACAAAATTTCGACCATCGTCACTCGATGGTTTTAAGCCACAATTGGATATTGGTGGCATTGACATTACGCCGACAGCCAAAAAAGGATTCTTTCGACGTTTCATTGAACTTATGGACGTTTCACTTTTAAAAGATCCAGGATATTTGAACATTTTATTTGGTTTATCGATTTTTTACGTTGCTGAAATGAACTTTAAAATGGTGACACCGTTCTTTTTTGCAAATTTGGGATATTCAAAAACAGATGTAGCAAAATGCTTATCCGTAACTGCCATTAGTGATATTGCGGCTCGAATCGTATTGCCACCTATTTGTGATCGTTTTGATGTGAAAAAACGAAGCATTTTCTTCGTATCCATTTTATTCGTTGGAATTACACGTTCAAGTAAGTTGAAAAAAGAAATCTCGTCCAAATAGGAGACCTTTTTTCTGAAAAAAAAAATTCAATTTGTCTTTTGCAGTCATGGCTGAACAAACCGATTTCAACATGCTGATGATGTGGCTTTTCATTTGCGGTTTCTTTAGAGGTTTGAATTCAATTCTCTCATATTTTCATCATTTTTTCCATCTGTTTTGAAATATTTCAATTTAAAACGAACCGTTTTGTTTTTATCACCCCATAGGAATGGCATTGAGTAATTTCACATTGTGTGTATCAGAATATTGTTCATTGGAGCAGCTTCCCGCTGCATTTGGCTGGCATATGATTGGCAAAGGTCTTTTCGTTACGGCATTTGGCCCGTTGATTGGTAATTGTCTCGTAAATTTCTCATTTCATTCCATCTCGTTTACATTGTATTCGATTTTCTTGTGTCTGTAGGTTTAATTCGCGATGCCACAGATAGCTATCCAATTTGCATTCACGCGCAATCGTTTTGCATTTTCTTGTGTTGTCTCGCCTGGTCAATTGAGTATATCTTAAGTTATATTCGTAAGCACAAAGATGATGATAGCGAGCCAAAAACCACCGAAACAATGACCGCAACAACAAATTCAACAGTCACAACGCCGGGCAACACAAAATAGGTCACTAGTTTTACATAAGTACATATATAGCCACTAGGAAAATGATGTGTTATTTAAAATACAATTGTATTGACATTTAATGTTTAGAGATTTTTAACATTGTTGGCGCGTTTTGCACATAGACCATAATTGAATTAGCATGAATACGATATTCAGAACGGACGAGTCCGGATAACACGTCAAATGATGTGTAAAATAAGCACATTATAGACACAATGTCAACTACATTAGGCTACTTTGCGACGTAGATCAATGACCTCAATACATTTTTTCAAACAAATGGAATGCCTTGTTCACGTCGAATTCCAATTCAAATGTTTTACGTCAAACATTCAGTGAATTATTGTTTTACATACAATGACATTTACTTTAATAGATTTTTTTTCGAGTTTTTTTTTTTTTTTTTTTTGAACAGCAAAAATGGATATAACACTGTGTTTTTTTTTGAATTACCTTATCATTATTTTATAATATATGTATACTTCTAGTGAAAAAGTATTATGAGAAAAGAAAATCATGCCTTTTAGTTTAAACAAATGCAAAACATGAATAATAATTTTGGATTCAGTATCAAAGATTATTAGTAAGCTTTATGTTCGCACAGATTCATTTTTCGGTGTCTAAGTACTAGAAATCCAGCGATAGTTACATCAATGTTTTGTAGTAATATATTACTCAAGGTATTCTTACTTCGGAACTTCACCGAAAATTGGACTCCGAAAAGAGTTCGTGTATTGATGTTATGAATTTAGCGTATACTAGTTTAGTTCAATCATCTCTGCACACTGCCAATAGGCATCCATTTCTTCATCCACACATTGGATCATATATTTGACTAAAAATACATTCAATAGATTTAAAATTGACAAGATAGGTATTATTAGCTATTAGTTCAAATTTTGAGCTAAAAAAAGAAGGCGAGCGAAAAGTAAACAATAAAATTTTCTTTAAACTATAAACCAAATACGATTATGACAGAAAAAACACTTCAGTTGGTGAGATTTAAAAGAGAATTCCTCTACATTATGGGAAAAATTACCAGAAAAGTCCGAACATATTTAAAATCTAGGGGGGAGACACCCGCGAATCCATTCACCTTTTGTGTCGGATTTGTACGATTAGTAT